CTACCAACATTAACACGCTAACTGAAGCACCATGTTTTTTTTAATACAAAACTAATTTTGAATATCTATTAGTTGATAATTCATATTTAACTGCTCCTCAGGGGCATTTACAAACAAAATCAATATTGGTTTTGATAAACAAAAAAAAATCAATAGTCTTGGCCTTGATTATTGTAGGAATACCTTTTCAAAGTATGAAAATAGATGATGTGACGTGTTTTCATATACTATAATTAGTATCTATCGGTCTATTTAAAAACATGATTTACCTAGCTAATCAAATGAAAAAAACTCACGGGAAAATGGCTCTACCTCTTTATTTTTTTTCTTATTTCTTTGGATTAATTGCTGTCATTTATTAATTATTCATATCAAAACTCGGGGTCTTATTTCTACTTACACCTTATGTCTTTCTGTTTTAGGGAGGAAGGGGTGCCTTCTTATCTTAAAAGCGGGTTAAGCTTTCAATTTCTTCAAATAATACCTAGTATGGAGATTATTCTCCGTTAATCATATTTATCAAAATATATTTTTATTTGCTTTAGCTTCTGTTAAAACGCCACTGGAACATCCAGATCTCATGCGAGTGAAACAGCTGTCATTTCTCAGTGGTTCAATAAGGCCTTGCTTAAAATCACCAACGAAAAAGCAGAACGGATCTGGAAGTATAGCATCACTGAATTACTCACGAGGTCGAGGTAAATTATTATATTTACAGTAAAAAACGAAAGTTAAAAGGGTAGTTTTTATTTTTATAAAAGGTTGCATATGTTGCCTCGTAACGAGTGAGGGCATACTATGTAATTGACTACTGTTTAAGATTTATTTAAAAGTGGGGAGGTTGAACTTCCTCCGCCACCTAAAAAATGCGTAAATCGGTCACGTGTTTATGTGTCTGTCACCAATCAGGTACTTCATCAATGATGGTTTGTTTTTATGTTCATACGCACATCTCAATATTAATATCACATTCAGTAATCTGATAACCTTGATGAAAATCTTTTATAGACAAAACAAGACATTTTTAATGTCACGAATGATTCTTTTATTTTGTTTTGTTTGTTTTTGTTGTTTTATCTTGTTGTTTTTTTTTTTAGGAGACTCGCTAGCCATTTTGATTGTCAATTGCAAAAATGAAAAACGGAAGTATTGGTTGAATAACGGGAAGAACATTATGAAATAATTTTCTTCAAGAAAATTCAAAATCAAAGTGAAACTTAATTATGAAAAGTTGATAATTGTTAGACTATATTTATTAATCTTTGAGGGCTTGGAAGTTATTTAATCGACACTGGCATTATATCTTTTTGAAAACTTCTAAGTTGATTTTCTTTTGTAATTTTAGTGCAAAGGTTCGTTTCAAAGGGCTCAGGTAAATAAGCATGATCAAACATGATCAATCAAAATTGATATGGTAATTCAAATATAGGCTGGTCTTGACTATCAAGCCCTTAGAATGTATATATATATATAGATTTGTTTTGGTTCTAAGCATTCTAGATTATATAATACTATATTGCCTTTAGCTGTAACTAGTTAGCTGTTAATGTATTGCTTGTATTAAATACTCTACTGTAGCTGTTTACACCCATATTTTGTTTCAAGTAGTGTGTTTATATTACACGTGCTTTGTTTTTGATCATATGGGCCACTTTTTTATAATATTTTCCGTTTTATTTGTATCAATATGTGCTGTTTTCAATTGCTTGTGTGTTTTACATAATCCAACACGGCTCTCAGAATGCGGAAACTTTTGATACATTTGATAATTTCTGTATAAAAGGTGTTTCCGAGTCATTTCATTGGTATTTAAATTCGCTTCGATCTTTATTGTCCTGTTCCATCTTCTCTTTGCCGGTTTATTTATTCTTGTTCAATATCTATATGCTACAATAGTACAGAGGCAGGGGTTTTATTGGAGAAAGGTAACTGAACTTAATATATAGACAGTTACATCTAAACGAACCTGCAAGGAGTAAGCATGAGTTTTGGTTGCAGTAATATATATGTTTGATCGTCTCAAAAAAGTAAATTAAGGATGTTCGCTACTCTTTTTCAAAATAACAAGCTTTTTAAAAAACTGTTATAAATTGATAGTATATGAATAATGGAACCAAGAAAGCAGAAAAAAATGAAGGGTCCGTGTGCTTGTTTTCGAGATATAAGCCTTTGAAAATTTGGCGGGAAATGATTCTCTCTAGATTTTTCGTTACATTTAACATTAGCACCTTTCTTCTTTCAAAAACAACGCAAAAATAATAAGGATTCTATAAGATTTTCAAATATGGCTTTTAAAACTATATGTAATAAAGTTATGAAAAGAAAAGTAGGGGTTAGTGGACAAAATTATTTTATGGCCAAACATGGATAAAACCAGAGGATTCCGAAAATCTGGCAAAAATTCAAAAACAAGAGGAGCGAACATCCTTAACTACTTTTAGTACATGTGTCATATGCGAGTTAAAACAAAGAGAAACACTTTACAATTATCTTTATGGGTACATTGGCCAACCTTGATGCCTCAATTACAGTAATGACTTCTACAGTGCTTTTCCTATTACGTAAAGTCAGACTAAGCCTTGTACAATAATTGTCTCTTTAGCGGTTTAGATATTTTAGTTGCACATGGGAATATCTTGACAATCATTTACTACAAAAGAGACGATTTTTCGTTTCCTATTGTTAATTTTTCCGTTTTTGGACGATGATGTATCTTTTGTCCCTTCTTGTGGTGTGTACATTTTCCAACTCGTTTGCTAGGCCCGTGTTTGTAGTGTCCTATAGTTGTCTACATTCTCTTTTAGATAGTCAGCACATAGGCAAGCATACCACATCTCCTTATTTTAACATTGTCTAATGGAAGTCGAAGTATTGCATTGTAAAACCAAAGTATTTAATCATAATTAATTTACAATACGTAAATTATAAGACTTTAAGTACGAGTTATATTAAAACCAAGGTTGATATACACCGCACTTTGACATGCACAACCAACAAGACAGTGACGGAAATTAGTGTTTTATTTTTTAGTTGTATAAATATTTCAAACATTATATATAGTTACGCAGTTGTAAGTTCATAATCCGATAAAAGATTATAAAAAACAACAACAAGGTACTTCTTTTATAAATGTTAGCAAACGACATTAAAAGGATTTGGGGGGTAAGGTTAATGCCACAGCTGCCAAAAGATAGAAAACCCTAAATTTTGAGGGGTATAGTGTGCTTATTCCCTTTTTAAGATTTTTTTATAATGTGTAACGATATATTTATTAAAAATTTCAATAATTAATCAAATAATTGTTATTTTAATAATGGTTTATCAAAAGGCAATAAATGATTAGCTATAATTTTGCACCTCAACCCTTCTGAAAACAGAAGGAATCAGTAAAAAAAACTTTTTGGTATATTTTGTTTACAAATTGCCCCGAAAAAAACGACAAACCAAAGAAGCTAGACCAGTGCAAGAACCTTCTCATTTGCTCAGATATAAGTCTCACCGATAGTTACTACTCCTTAAATTGATGTATAATGTGTATACTATACATGCAAATTTCATTAATTTTGTGAAAAGTCTATGACAATGTTGTATTTTCGGAATCTGAATGCATGTGTGTTAAATTTTCAGATTCTGACAGCGATATGAATGACGACATATTTGAAACCGCATCTGTGAGATCGGATGATGTATTTATGTCATCTGAACAAACAAAAAAGAAAAATCAGTCCAGCGTATTGTAAGTATAACATTCATTTATTGTGTATTGTGGTGCTATCATATTTGAACTAATTTTCCGGGACTATACCAATTCCCACGCCTGCTGCCAAATGTCAAGGACAATAATTCCGCGAAAATTGGGTCATCTGAAACGAATTACGAACTCATCCTTTAACTCATTACACACTCATAATAAAAAAAAAACATCGGCATAATATATATATAGAATTTCTTTTTGTAACTTTATGAGTGTAAAAGCTTTGACCGAGGCACATTCTGTATAATTTAAAAGCCCGGAAATCTTTTCTCATTACAACTTACAGTGTTCTGCATATATTTAGTACTGCACTGATGTATTCATATTAAATCTTACGAAACGAAGTTGTGGCTGATACAATGTTTTTATTTTGAAAGGCCATCAGTTCGTAATTGTCTAGATAGCAAACCATGATCGCACACACATCATCATCTAAGTAAAAGTCTTCCTTTTTTTTTTCTTTTTTTTTTTTGTTTAATTTGTATTTTATTTTTTGTTTTTGTTTTCTAAATATTCATTTATTTATTTTTTCTGTATTATTGTTTTCTTTCTGTCTTCACTTTTCTGTCTTTTGACATAAATCCATATATATATATATATATATATTAAATAGATATACCATTCTATACATGCATGCTCATACATATATTTTGTATTATATTGCTATAAATGTTGAATGGAGAAGACTTCATAAGTCTGTTTGACTTGTGTCTTATCCAATTTGTACTTGAACAAATAAAATATGTTTAAACTAAATCAGTTCGTATATATATATTCATAGATATCATATACGAGTGAGTACTAGAGCTAATCACACTACTCAGATCAATAATAAATATTATAGTTTATTGATGTGAAAACTGGCACAATTCATTCACAAAATTTACACAAAAAACCTTTTGACTCTTGACAAAATGCGATTAATCCATATACTTCGTTTATGTTTTGATCATTTGTCTTAAACATATAGTACCTTTTTAAAACTTCAATGAACAGACTGTGTAGTACATTTCATGCATGGATTTATATTGCGCATGAATAGAGAGGGCAACCAAAGCAAGCAAGCGTCTATGTTTGTTATTAAAGTAGTCAGATGAAACGTTCTAAAGAAAAAATAACCTGCAACACAAAGCAATACCGGAAGCTATTGAAACAAATCACAGTAAATAACCATATTTAGGCAAATCTTTTTTTAATTATTTCAGGGACAGTTTTGTCTTAATTATTAGTGGTTTATATGGTATTCTTCTTGTTGTGATTGGCTCTGTCGTTCCTATCGCAGAAACATTTGTTCATTCTGTCAGACATATCGCCTTTGAGGTAAAATATAATAATTGAATTGATATAAAATTGAGAAAGGAAATGGGAGATGTGTCAAAGAGACAACAACCCGACCGAAGAGCAGAAAACTGCCGAAGACCACCAATGGGTCTTCAACACAGCGAGAAAATCCCGCACCCGGAGGCGGGCTTCAGCTGGCCCCTAAACAAAAATGTGTACTAGTTCAGTGAAAATTGACGTCATACTAAACTCCAAAACATAAAAATGAACTAAAATTTAAAAAAAAATACAAGACAAACAAAGGCCATAAGTTACATTTTATGAAATTAGTGCAATTTGAAACTAAATTCCATTTTTTATATACAAATATGTTCTAATAAATTGAAACATTTCACGTCCTGAATATGCTGAAATATTTGCTACTGGACGTTAAATAAAAAGGTACACTTTAATTTACGGCAATTTGACACGGACAACATTCGTTTTATCTTAATACAATCTGAAATTTCTAGCAATCATTTTTGTAAAATTAGATAATTTGTAACTATTCACACATATATGAAAATAAGGAGATGTGACACAATTGCCTATGAGACAACTATTAGCCACACATATTTTTGGTATGTTTTTTTTGTTTTTGTGTTTTTTTGTTTTTATCTTTTTTTTACTCATATGTTCTCTAACTTATTGTCAGACAGTTAAGAGTAACTATGATATTTAAAAGGTCAGACAACGGTTTTATTGTTGACATGTAATACATTATGTACTCACAAATCGAAGCACGAAAATGGACATTAGAACGGATTGACAGGCTGATTTTCTACTACATTCTTCCCCTAAATGTAGATGTATTCAAAGTTTTTAAAATTAATACAATTAACAATTATATACCTAATCAGTTACTCCTTTATTTTTTAATTAGTTGGTTAATTCGTTCTGTAAAATCAGTTGAAAAATTATCTCGAAACCTCCATATTGTAGATACAGTCTATTTGTAATGTCCTCCACCTGACGTTGATTCTTACTATATAATTATAATCACGAAAAGTGTTTTTACTTGTAGGTATTTTACATATATCTGTATGCAGTCAGTATCTGTTTTATTATTTACATGTACATGTTCCTTCTACATGATTCTCCCGTAGCAGTTGGCAATCTCAAAAGAAGCTTGAGCGAGCGAGGCAGAAAACGTCTGGGACCATCACCGCAAGATGTTGAAAATTTCCTCCCGGATACATGGAGTCAGACCTCACGTAGTAAACGACGAAAAATTACTTTCAATAACACAATGAAACAAAGTGCTGCAAGCTTTTATCTGCGACTTGGTGCAGTGGGTAAATATATTTGTGCAGTAGAAAACAACGAAACGAAATATAAGATAACATATTTGAAAATCAAAATTACAATACGAAACGAAATAATCAAAATCATGGGACCTTTTTTCCATTCATTTTTTTACAATGTTATAGATTGTTTAGTAAAGTTTATATTCCAAATAGAGGAACAAAACGTATAAAAGTTATTGTAAGCTCGTGCTGATAAGAGCAAGTAAACATTAAATAAAGGAAAATAAGAAATTAATTTAAAAATCTTAAGACACCGTAAAAATGAAAAGAAATGATAATAGAAGAGGGGACCATGCCTCAAGCGCTTGCACATTAAGTCGGCACATAGAACTGAAGAAGTCCTGGGTTTCACGACTAATAACACAATGACATTATCCAATCCTATTTTGAATACGTTTAGGAAATTTTGAATAGAATCATTTGTATCGGTTGGAGTTGAACTTTTTTTAAACAAAAAAACTGTAGAGATTTAGGATTTTTTTAGTATCAAAAGGTTTACGACATTTGATAAATCAAAGTTTCCTTAATAGTGACTGAAATTTGTAATTATTATAAAAATAAGAAGATCTTGTATATGATTTCCAATGGTAGAGACCAAATGACGTATAAGTTAGAAAATAACTACTACCTCCTACAATGAGCAAAACCCATACTGCATAGCAAGCTATTAAGGCCTCGACATGACAAACAATTTAAAAGCAAAAATTAACGACCTGATTGATGTACAAAAAAATAAACGAAAAACAAATATGATATAAATAAATATTAGTTAGCTTCAACTTAAAATTTATGTTATGTGGTACTTGCATTGAATGTTAATATCGATCTCTGTTTCAGTGTTTGGAATAGGTTGTATGATATTAGAGGGTCTATACATTGGACAGCTTCTCGAGATTTCACATTCTAACGATCCATGTGCCGCCTTAAGTATGATTATTAGACCTGTCCTGAAACCATGCTTTACGTTTTCTCAATTGTTCTTCATTTTCAGAAATTCAAAGGTGAGGAACGCACACCATCTTAATTTAAATCAGGGATGTGTTTGAAATAGTATGTTTCGTCACATGCTTTTTAAACACACTTGTAACACAGAAGTTAAATAATCGGTGTTACTTTGAAGCTAACAATGTATTCATGAACAACTTTGACAAAAACGTACCAAAGACTTTTAAGAGATATGTCTGTTATTCTATGTTTTCGTACCTGAATAGTAAATACAAATTTGACAAACTCAAAATTATAGTTTTGATATAGTTCAGGGTGGTTTTTTAAAGATTTATTTGAAAAATAAAGTATGTCAATTTACCATTATTATTGTAAGTGCAGTGGCGGATCCAGGGGGAGGGAGGTTCTGGGGGTTGGAACCCCCCTTTTTTGACGATCAATGCCTTTGAATGGTGACATATGGTTGGAACCCCCTCTTTAAAAAATGCCTGGATCCGCCCCTGAAGTGTGTTGGTGTCATTCTAAAATATACTACAGGTTCCTTTTCATATGAAACAGACTTAGTACAAAGGCTTCTCATGATCAAATAGAATGAAAAGGAGTCAGCTTTTCCTGTCCTTTAACTTCATTTTCCGCTATATAGATTGTATCATGATATCATAATCTGAATAATTCAATGATTGGTTAGTATGTTGATTGTATTTATTCTATTTAACTTGAAAAAAGAATACCATACAGGCAGTTATGTTTGCTTTGTTTCTCCACTTACATCTAGAAAGTAATGGTGAGAGTCGGTTGAAACCTAATTTTTGCGAGAAAGAAGATAGTTTAAATGTTTACATTGAGATATTTATTTTCTATTTCTATGTTGCATTAACATATATTGTCGAAATGCGCATTTGCTGCAGTAAAATTGGTACAGTTTATTTTATTGAAGCGTCCCAGAAGCGCCTATACATGTATATGGATTATATGTTGCCAATTAGTGATATGTTCCATGGGTTGTATTTGGTATCATGATTTCTTTGATAGAACGCTACTGCCTGTGAACAAGCTAAAGGACTAACAGTTTCAAGTAGTGAAGTTGAAGTCTTCAAGATTTGGTTGACCATTATGGACTATTTTTGTCGACCAAAAGATGACCCAATCCAGTCTTCTTTCCCCCGTTTGTAACATATCTAAATGTGCTGTATTTTCACTACAATTAGACACATTGGTTGCTACTAGTAGAGCAAGAACAACCTACCTTTCCAGAACACAATGATTTCAACACCGGTGTTTTGGGTGGATTTCGCATGTTTCTCAATATTTGGTTTTCTGTGAAGTTATTTGTGATCTGTTGTTTGTTTATTCTACGTTACGTTTTTAAATGCCATGTTCTTACGCCTACTTATTGTTATTAAATTAATCCTTGGTATCTTCTTATTCTTTTTTCAAAAGCTAAAGAGGAATAAAATACAAAAGGGAGTATTACCTTTAAATTTAGAAAAAAACAATACATATTTTTTATCTACTTTTAGTTTTTAAGTATTTATATAATTAGTATATTTCGTAATATATTGCAATATACATGTATTACATATTACAGATGGTTGTATATAAAGGTCGATCAATCGCAAGATTCGGCTTTATGCACATGGCTGCGACAAACATATGTAGCTGGTTCAGATCTATTGTAATGGAAACATTACAGTCGTTTGCAGAAACAATCGCAGAGCAGAGACTGCAAAAGATGAAGCTTGATCAAGGTAATGTGGGTATGTAAATAGGTAGCTAGTCATTTCATACCATAACCATTTCGTACCATTGCCATTTCGTACCATGAATTTGCCATTTCGTACCATAATCTTCCATATAGTACGAAATGGTATACATTATAATCTTCCATACGGTACGAAATGGTCATGGTACGAAATAGTTATGGTACGAAATGGTCATGGTACGAAATAGTTATGGTACAAAATGTTTTTTGTTATGGTACGAAATGGTTATAATGGTACGAAATGACTATGATTCTGTAATTATAGGGAATATACCATACAAAATATATTTTCGTACACAAAATATAACCGGCTAAGTATAGCGGTCAGTATAACAAGTTAAATTTTTGGCTGAATAAAGAAAGAATTATTGCACCTAGACCTCCAATATGGCCACAAAAGGGAAATAACTCTGCTGAAGTTGCATCAATCATACTATCTATAATGTAGCAGTGCCAAGTTATTCAATTAAAAACTTGTACAATATTTGCTGTAGACAATATTAATGTACAGTCAAATATGAGTCTGTATACATTTTAGTTTATAGAATATATTCTTTTCTATTATAAATTTAAAACAAAAACTCTCTTCACAGGATTAAAACGCTTCCTCTTGGCCAAACATCTTTTTAAGAATATCTAAAGCAACAACATTCAGCAAATGGTCTTACATTTTTTTTTCTCTATACGTCAGCAAAATAAAGATTATACACTTTAAGGTCAATGTACAGTAAATGGGCTAGGTCACAAATATTGTTGATGACCCTATTAATTATTTTACATCATTAAATCGGAAATTTATGTATGAACACCATATCATTTTTTACGAGAAATTTGTGGATTTGGTATTGGAGATTTTATTATCTTAAGACAATTTAAGAACGTTTTTCGCCGATTTTATGTGCTTTCTATGCAAACATTCACCTTTTTTGAAACAAGTCATTCAGTAATATTTCAGAAAACAAAAGAGATAAATGCATTATTATTTCGATATCCAGCTAAAGTTTAACAAGCCAAAGCTGTCTACAAATTTTTACAAAAATCTATGACTTAGCCCATTTACTGTACTTTGACCTTAAAATAAATTTGAAAATTAATGTTAACTATTGCTAACCTTAAGCTTGCGCTTATCGTCCGTGTTAATCATTTTATTGTTTTCCCTATTGAACAAGAGTGCCAATCTGCTTTTAATCATTATCAGAGTTCTAATTCAAAGATGTAAGTTATTTTTCCTGCTACTAGTATTTCTATTTGTTTACTTGAAGAATTTATTTCAGAATCAAGCAACATATCCCATGTAAGCCACCACGCTGTTCATATTAGACTTCCGCTTACTGAGTTTTCCTGTCGCTATAGTAACATGATAGGAGGGATGTTAATGGATTTCAGCCATTATCTTTATCCATTCTGCATAGAATATAGTGTAATTTGTGCAGGTTTGTACATAATTATGTTAATCTAAATCGAGGTAAATTCTACAGCAGACCTACCTAAGTGGGACTGTGATGTAACAGGACAGTCACCTTCACTAGTTCGACAATTAGATTGTTCGTTGTGCTGTTTAGAATGTATACATTAATTTGGCAGCCATGTCCGGTTTGTAAAGTAAAGTTTAATCATATGCCCAGTGTATGGAAAGTGCCAAGCTCCATTAATTATATGTCCAGTGTATTGAAAGTGCCAATTAAGCTCCATTAATCATATGTCCAGTGTATGGAAAGTGCCAAGCTCCACAAATCATATGTCCAGACGCACAGCTCCACACACGTTACAGAATCCTTTCAACAATTTTCTGTTGGAGGGACCAATACAAAGGTGGTTGCAGTAAAATTTTCTCTTTCAAACATACACTCCTTTTCTATTGGCCATTACAATGATTCACTCTCGTCTTGAATATGTATATGTATTATATCTAGAGAGAGCGCAGATGTTATATAATATATATATATATATTATTGGATTGATTCGTGGTTTTTAACGCCACTATATGCACTATTGGCTAATCCTAGTCAATTAAGATTGGAGAAGGAACGCATCTGCAACTTGCAAGTTTCAAACTCAAAGCTTCATTGTTGACAGGCTAATTATACAATTATAGATAAACTTCTAAGACCACTCGGCAAACGAAGCCCCATATATTATTTGAAAATGTGTACCAATATTCTAATATTTTTTTCTCATTTTTTAGGAATTTTATATGTAATGTGGAAAAACATAGGAGTGAGAGAGAAACTGGTTATTAGGGAATCAGAAGACAAAGAAGAAAACCGACAGAGACATAAAATGAGCGTGGATTGTTCGGGGTCCAGTAGAGGACTTTTTCTAGGAATATTTGTGTTTGTTGGCATGGTTTGCAGCATGATCGTGTTCTACGTCATCAGTAAACATGACCCAGATGCAAAACACACCGCCATTATTGTACATACCACAGAAATCATAATTTTGTCTTTGGCAATGGCGGCTATTATTGGTGCGGCAGTGAGCATGCGTGATCTTCGTTTTATTTGGAAGACAAAAGACATGCTTGAGGAGACACTAATTCTAGTATCAATGACGGGACTGTACATGTTTTCAATGTTTAGTTTAATCGCAGCGTTCTTTTACAAAGATACAACTAAAGGTGTTTTAATGATTATCGTTCACATCTTGATGATATGTGTAGCAACTGCGCAAACTATATTTATGATTTTTGGATTACGATTGTCAGCGAAAAATGTGAATCATGTCAAATCAAAACCAGGAAGAGAATTTGTTACATTCTTATTGTTGTGTAACTTTTCATTGTGGTTTATTGCGACGTTTGAAATTCAAAAATCAGGACATAATCCTCAGCAACTGGAGTTTTATGGCGCGAAAGCATGGACTATTTTTACACATATCTCCGTACCACTAGGAATATTTTATTTCTTTCATTCTACTGTTTGCTTATCGCACATTTGGAAACATGCTTGGAAGTTCAAGAAATTCAGCAAAATATGAAATTACCGAATATAGCCAAGATAGTTATTGATCTACACATCTATATAAAATCACGTTTATAAAAAGCTAGACATTAGTTTTAAGAGCATTTTACATTATTTTTTTCTATAGTGTACCGTATAATGCTAGGGTGCCGCGCGTGTATGATATAGCTTTCAGTAGACTATAATATACCAACTTCTTGTATATAAAATCGTCATTGTATATTATAATTTCATGTCATTTTAAGAATAATAACCATATGAAACTTTAAGGTGCAATGTGAACTATTCACAATTGACCAAATATCATAGATGAAACCGACTACACCATACGATCTTTAACAATTATCAAAACTTAAACTTTATAGTAAGCTGTAAACGACACCGACATGACAAAATGCTAATCAATTCAAACGAGAAAACAAACGGCCTGATTTAAGTACAAAACAATACGAATTCGAAAAATGAAAGACAGCAACTACTACTACTTGTTTCATTTAACCATATCTGAATGGCACAAAGTGTTATCTACATGTTTATAACCGTGTCTCGGTTTAGAATATTAATCAAATGAATTGAACTAAAGTAGTAACTGCTATTTGTTTTCAAAGAAGTTGTTGAATGAACTCGACCAACACACTCATAAACTGAAAGCGAGTGAAAAGCTGACTTCGTACATCAATAAACTCCGTAAAATTACCTTCATTACTTATAGTTCCAATACAATGCATGGAAAAATGTGCCACGGAAACAGCACGAATGCGAAAAATTGAAACTGTACAGAAATGTCACTGGTAATGTGTAGTTATGGCAACTATAAAGGTCATATGTAGATGTGGCAACTGAATATCATATGTAGATGTAGCAACTGACTGGAATTTTCAAAATGGCTTCCATTACCATGGAAACAAGACCGGTTTGGGCGACTTTTGTGTTAGCATCCTAACACAGGGTTACTTAATTTTTGTATTTCCTGTCTATTTGTATTTATTTATAAATCATTAACGTTGGCACTAAGATTTGTATGTTTACTTTTAATGAGCAGTTTACTATCCATATCTGTAAACTGAAAAATCCTAAAGGGATCGCCATTTTGATTTTTCCATCCTGCCTTAGATACAAAAAGATTAAAAATATTTCTATGGGACATATACCGTACAACGACACTTATTTCTTTCCTAAAAGATTCTTCTATCAGAATCATATATAAGTTTTCCAATCCACGACATCCTTACTCAGCTATCGTTCACCCAGGATGAAAATTCTAATTTCCCGGCAAAAGCAACGTGACTGGCAAACTTGTCGTTTTTTTAAGAATGGGAGATAAAAATGACAAAATTCTTTCTGTAAATGGAAGCACAAAACTGGTTTCTTGATAAATAAATCCCTAAAAGTCGAAAGTAGTTTATAAATATTGATGTGGGAATATCTCTATGATGTCTGTCTAGAAAGTAGCATTCCTTGGTAAAAAAAAACCAGATATTTAAGGGGGCGACCTTTTTTTTTTTTATAGTTTTTTAAAATGATGTCGGGAAATTTGTGTAACGGTTAAATTTCTGCGGAAAATAAAGCATTTTTAACATGTTTTCACCAGAATTCAAACATTATGTTGCATGATTTTCAAGCTGAAAAATCTACGCCTTTTGGGAAAAAAGCATAATTAGGATGTTAATATACAATTTATTGACAAAAATAAATAGCAATTGAATATACAATACAATACAACAGGGTAAAAATAAAAAAGAAGATGTGGTTTGATTGCCAATGAGACAACTCTCCACAAGAGACCAAATAACACAGAAATTAACAACTATAGGTTACAGTACGGCCTTCAAAAATGAGCAAAGCCCATACCGCATAGTCAGCTATAACAGCCCCGAAATGACAACTGTAAAACAATTCAAACGAGAAGTTTATTAGTTTTTACAAACGTCATGTCATTTCAGTCCGCTGCAATATCGTACAAATATGCATAACACAATTAAAAGTCAAGTAAAAAATACCCGCAAAAAAATATTTTCCTGACTGAAGGTTCAGAATGAAGTATTAGAGAAGAATGAAAAATTCTAGAACAGTTGACTACATGTAAGATATCAAATGTATGGATCAATTCAAAAATGGTGTTGCATGATAGGAATTTAGGTTTAGTTAGTTTTCCCTACGCATGGGTAGTCCGATTACCTGTCACTGCAAGAGCAATATAAAAGTCCTATAGTAAATGTATATACCTATTTAGAGTTATTTCCTCTCAGAACGATAGGTCATTCTTTTGAAGAAACAACCCGGACGATACCAAGTTTCAACAAAAAGTGCTTAAAGGCATAAAATAGATGACTTGTGTCATGATTCATTTTTATATACCTTGTGATATATATACAAGTCTAAATACTTTTTGACTCATTTGGTCTTTTGGAAAATGTTGTTTGTGCTGTATTTAGACCCCTCTACCAAGAAATTTGTTTTGCATGCACACGTATAAAAATTGCGGTTTTTATCCAACGCAATCATAGGTTTGAACGTTGTTTTCAATTTAGACTTGTTTATATATATATACATATTTATGAAGCGAACCCCTTTAAAAACTTAGCTAATATTGTCCATTGATAGATAAATGAATTAAATTCTTGGTGTACTTGGATATGGTGAATCTAACCGTGTATTTAGATTTTGGATATTGGACCCATAATAGGTAAACGTCCAATTTCAAAGTTTTCAGTTCTTTGACCACATTCATTCTGTGTCTGAAACATATGATGTGTCAAATATTTAATCACAATCCGAATTCAGAGCTGTATCAAACTGCGGCCAGCGGTGCATTTAATTGTATATTATGAGGAGACTTAAATGCATCTGATAATTATCACATATTTGTTACGAAAACATTGTATACAGATTGACAATAAGGGAGCTTCCATTTGATTTTTATGGGGGGGGGGGGGGGGGGGGGGGGGGGGGGGGCTAGGATGAAAAATTGTGTTTTGCATTTTTTTTAGTTGTAATCTCTGTCCTGTCCTGCCTTTTTATTTTTCCCTCTATTCGGTCCTGCCATTTTTTTTATTAGTTTATCCTGACTTTTTTTATATAAATTGTCATCCTGCCTTTTTTGTTGCCAAGTTGCTCATCCTGTCTTTTTTTTTACTCAAAACTCCTGTCCTGCCTTTTTTCTTTAATTTCATCCTAGCCCCCCACCCCCCTAAAAATCAAATGGTAGCTCCCTAAAAGATACATCGCCATATTCAAAAATCTTTTCAGTTGTAATAAACGGATCTTTTTTCTTATCAGCTGACAAATGAGAGTGTGGCTAACCATCGAATTAGAAATCTAGTTCGATTTAGAGTTAAAGTTCGAGCAAAAAATTTGAATTAGAGTTCAAGATATACTTCGAATTCAAATATTAGTTCGAGTAAGAGTTCGATTTAAAGTTTGAGTTACACTTCGAGTTAAACTTTTGAGTTAAGAGTACAATTCTAGTAAGAGTTAAAATTTCGAGATCCAATCAAATTTAGAGTAAGATTGCAGTTTCTATCAAGTTCCGCTCGTCTATTCGTTTTTTCATTTAATGATTATTCGTTCATCACATGTCTTTTTTTCCTCAGTATACTAGTATACATTTCATTTGCCAATGATGATCAATGGTTAGTAAACTACTAGAAGTAATTTGAAAAGATTGATTGATTGTGTATGTTGTATTCGAGTTTCAGCACTCTCTGCTATACCATAGTGGCCACTTTTTATTGATGAAGGAATTGAGTTATCTAGAGAACCTTTGTATTTGTAAAATGGTTATCCGTGTTAGTTAAGATCGGAATCCGACAACCTCCCAACGTCAGTGTTGACAGGCATGTGATCACACTGATTGATCGAAATATGTACCTACATCTAAACTATTTATTTTGTTTTCTCGTTGTTTTCTTAAACCCATCGATTGATTGGTTTCTGCCAAACTTTTAGTGGCAAAAATTACATGAATATCAGCACGAAAACATTTTTCTATGATTTGAATACTATTTCACAAGACGGTCTTCTAATGTTATGGTTACAGTTTAGCAGTACTCCGGAAGACATGTTATTCTACATAATACTTGTGTGTGTTTAATATTCGTCTTGTCGGAAACTTCTAAAGGTTGATATTCAGTATGGGATGTTCTCGTTGTTGAAGGCAGTACGGTCCCCTGTAGTAGCTGACATCAACGATAGTTGGTCTCTGGTGGATAGTTAACAATTGTACCACATCTTCTAATATTTTTAAAGATTTTTATCAAGTTTATTTTAAAAGATGGTAAATTTCCATCCCCATCTATTCTGATACGATCGTAAACCTCTTTTTCTCTTTTCTTGAAAACAGATTGTGATGTCCCATTTATACAAAAATAAGGATATGTGATATGATTGCCAATGAAACAACTATCCATCGAAGTTCAAATGAAGTGAATGTAAGCAATTATAGACAACAGTACGACCTTCAACAAAGAAACAACTATAATAATATATATTTGGCCATAAAAGGCCCGACATGAAAAATATGAAACAATTCAATTGAGAAACTAAGGCCTAATTTATAACAAAACAATTTACGAAAAATAAATATGACAGATATTAACCAACGAGAATCATAGAACTACAGGCTCCTGACTTGGGACAGGCTCATGTAGAATGTGGCGGGGTTAAACTAGTTTGCTGGCTCTAAACCCTCAACCTGGGAAAGTGGTGTAACATTACATAAAAACAAACTATAAAAATCAGTTGAAAAAGGCTTAACTCAACAGATCAATACGAAGCAGAAAACATCTAATGAAAACACAGACCGGACGTGGCAGCGTATCTATATATCCTACAACAACAAAAACACTAAGTAAAGATCTGAGAGTACTCGCAGTTACTGACAACTACATGTAGTTCAAAGCCAATAGCAACTAATACAAAAATCAATCAGTACACATCCAACATCCTATGGATTTAGTGTAAAGACGTCATTAACAGTCAGAGAAAAACATGACCTTGTGCAATGCCAAAATAAAGGTATCGACAGACTAAAAAGTTCATTTTTACTTCCAGTAATACCTTTTTGTACACACATTTATATTGAAAACTTGAAGAATGTGCTTTAAGGTCAAATCAATTTTAAAATATTGTTCATGTTCGCATTCAAAAAATCTATAAAATCTATATTAAATGTACAGAGAGTAATTAAGACCTGTATACTATTTGTTCAATGAAAAAATAAATAGCCTTTTCATTACATATATTTTTTGTCATCGGTATGCTTCGACATTGTTATCAATCAATTACATAATTATGTAACTGTAATTTGTACATCTTTTCTTTTGAGCGGGCCGCCATTTTAGAAATCGGCGACCTTTACGACGGACTCAATAGGCGCAACGTCATAATACGACACGATAGCGGCGCCTAGCCTGGCATCCGGCCCAATCTAGCTTCGTGTTGCACAGACAAGTTGAGCCATGTTATAGCGACGCCGAGAGCGATGCGTATAAACAATAGCGTGATTTCCTTTTAATAAAAGGGCTTACGATACAGTTTTGATCCAACGGTGAATTTTTGACAAAAATTTGCATACAAGCTATTGTTCATCCATACTATTCAAATATGTAATAAAAATTATACCTTCATGTGCTACTTTTAGAGATAAATGGGGTCGAAATTTTAGACATTTACTAAAATTGTTTCTTGGACAATTCTATCCTTTGGACAGACATACCCAACTCTTTTGTTTCAAAAGGTAAACACAAGCGGATTTTTGTAAAAACATTATGAATATCTTCTTTACATTAATATGTTCTAAATTTGCGTAACAATTCTTTTGATAAAATTAATTTTTATTAAATTTTCGTGATTTTAGAAAAAAAACGGCATTTTTTGCTGTATATTTATATAATTTAAAAAAATTCCACCGGTGATTTGTTCATAAAAATTGGTACAAATACTCTTCATACATAATCAAGTCAAATACCATTTTTAAAAAGAGTGATCCATGTACTCGTTTTCAAGCTAATGATTAAAATATGTCGAAAAATTCATCTTTATCCGATATGTGATAGTTTGACGTCGCGAAAAAATAACATTTTACGTTAGCAACTTCATTACCTCCCCTGTAACTGTATCATATGCCCTAAGCAACGTCAAACTCGCTTAACACTTGGATGGGTGACCGCCTAGGAATACCGAATGTTGTAGACATTTATTTCTTTTTTTTACTTATAAATTTTTCACACCATCAGATAAGTGAAAAGTCTAAAGATTTGATTACTTAAAAAATCTTATAGCAAGGTTCAAAACAGCAGCAAAGTGAGTCAAACTAAGTGTTCTCCCCTTGCTACTGTTCTGTAAAAGAGTGTCATAGCGACGGCTTCTGAAACTGAGGCTGTACAATGGATTTCGCCCGTCAGGACAGGTAAGTGATTTTATCCTTTACTTTCAAAACTGCTCTACCGGTTATGCCATTTTTGACACGTTTCTGTAATTAATGCGAAACAATTTTTCCCATGCAGAGTAGTTCTGTCTGCATTATTTACCCGTAAATTTCGTTTAACGCCAAATTTCGGCGGACCCAGCCCCGCTGTTCAGTTTGTTCATTTGTGCAGTTTTTTTTCTTTTGAAATATTTATGTTGTTTTTTTTTCTTTTTTGTACCTGTTCTGTTAATAAATGCTATTTCGTGTATATCAACAGCAAATATTTCCCTATTCAAGCAAATGGTCAATAAAATTATAATATATTGTTTACCATAATCCAGTAATTTCTGCATAATTCTACAACGGCTATAAAAACAATGAGAGGTGGTATAATTGCGAATGAGACAACTATTCGGCAAAGACCAAAGAAGGAAGATGTAAATAACTTATTCAGTGTTGAAATCATTTTAGAATGTGAACACAGTAAGAAATTAATCAGATGCCAAAAAAAATCATATACATAGCTTTTGCATTTCAGAAATCTTTTTAATTTGAAGTTTCCTTTAAATCAGATATACATATACCAGTACAAAAAGTCATACTTAAAATAAAACATTTTTTAAATCCAGTTGAATTCTTTTGAGATAATTTAGGCAATGAAATGTTGTACGCCAGACGCACGTTTCGTCTACAAAACATTCACCAGTGACGCTCGAATCAAAAAAGTTAAAAGGCCAAATAAAGTACGAAGTTGAATTGCTTCGTGGACCTAAAATTCCGAAAGGTTTTACCAAATAAAGCTAAGATAATCTATTCTTTCTATATGTTTTTCTATACCTATATCTATACTTACGTTTGGAGAAATATATATATGATTCAAAATTCCCTTTCATGAATTCTGAAAAACGAATCTTAGCTTTATATGGTACCAAATAAAGAAGGAAACCTTCCAAGGATTTTACAACAGTATATATATATATCTTAATATTACTATTCTATACGCTGAGTTTCAACTTTTATTTCAGAAATAAAATAACAGCAATCAACGTTCAATTAACAAACAATCACACTTCTCATAACCTGAGTAGAAATGACATCATTCATTGGATAAATAGTATCTTAAATACCGACTACCACAGGATCGAAGAGCTTTGTACAGGTATTAAAGTTTTTACAGTTGCTTCAAACAGTAGTTGTAAGTTCAGGGTTGTTTATCCTTGAAGTTTTATACGTATTTAGACATTTAAATAGATACCAACATATAGACAGTCGGGCAAAAACATAAATATAAGATGAAAAATAACACCATCATTGTAAAACAAGGACGAAGCCATACGAAACGGTCCATATGTATCCTTTTCTAGTTTTCTTTAACGACCTTATTTGACTGTGACATAGTAAAGACAGGAAAGGATTTAGTTGAACGACTAGTACATATGGACCTTTTCCTACGTCTTTGTCCTTTTTTGTGGTGATGGTGTACATGTTGTTTGCTCATCTTACTATAGATTTAAGTGTTTAACTGCCCGTTTGTGTCTAATTAAATGTCTAGTCACATCCAAAGAAGGTCTTACAAAAAGTGAAGTACTCAGTATACTCTGACAGTAATGTCAATCATAAGATCATTCTTAAAATTCAAATGAGTTTCTAGTTTTTATATAGATTAGACCGTTGGGTTTCCTGTTTGAATTGTTTTACACTAGTCATTTCGGGGTCCTTAATAGCTTGCTGTTCGGTGTGAGCCAAGGCTCCGTGTTGAAAGCCTTACTTTGACCTATAATTGTTAACTTTTTATACATTGTGACTTGGAAGGAGAGTTGTCTAATTGACACTCATACCACATCTTCTTTCTTATTTATATTATAGCTTTCCTTTTATTAGAGTTATCAAATTTTTGCAACAATATTAAAATTTATTTCTACGCCAAACACCATGCACTATAATTTCTTATTCTATAAATCAAGAAATCTTTTTTCCTTGCAATCAAATAGTTTTTGTTTTATAAGAATACCCATTAATAAATAAAACATCAAGCAAAACCTTAAAATCTAAAATTTTGGTTTTGTCAATATTTTAAAAAAAAAAACTTTTATCGATATCCCTGTGAACTTTATGATTTCTCGGAGACAAACCAATTCTAATTTAAAACTGAAAACTAACATCTATGAAAGATACGATGATTTTAATTTTCAACCGATTTTCAATTTGTAACAATACCATCTTCCACAGTCTATATCATCGATAGTTATTTTCCCACTAAGCACCAGGATGAATGACTAAAAATAACACTTCACAATCCAACCTGGTAATCTCACATTGTAACCAATTTTGGCTGGTTCCTGGCTTTGACACTACTGGGTCTGACTTAAATCACGTGACGGGGTAACGCAATGTTTTCCTTGTCAACGTTATACTCCGTTCCGATTCCGATTGTTTTTTTACATTCATGAGGGTGTGGATGGGTGTTTACAGAATAAAGAATAATGGGCATAAAATATAAAGAATAGAGAATAATGGGCAAAAAGTATAAAGAATAGAGAAAAATGGCCTAAAAAATTCATTTTGTCTAATTTAATAAAGGAATAATGAGATATAAACTATACCTTGTAAGATTAAAAAAGCCTTATAGTGGTAATACCATACATGTATTATAATATTGAAATGTAAATCGCCAACAAGTCTATTAAAATTGCTTTATTCAATATCGACTAGGAAAAATTTAATTCAAAAGAAATTGCTGAAAGAAATAAAAAGTAAAAATTAAAAAGTGACAAGGAGACGATAAAGATGTCGCAATCGAGTTGAGAAACGTAGATACTGTAACCTTGGTGATCAACCAACCAATCAATACATTGATGGCGACTGAGAAACTTATCCGCATAACCTTGGTGGCAGGCGTCTCATATCTCTAGGAATAAAACAGGTCAAATAAGAGTGAAATCAAACGAATATGGGTTAATGACAAGCAGATTTTTAGTATTGTTTTGTTAAACATTTGCAAGTGGAATCACACTTGCATTATAAATCCCACTGTTTGTGATAATATCAAGAAAAGTGTTGACTAGTTCATGGTGCAAAGCACTTTAAAAAAGAAATTGAGGTTATAAAATGTTGCTTTGATTGAAATCCAAGGTACACCAAAATGGAAATATCTAACTAACTTAAAGATGAAAGGAAATAATAAAAAAAAAAACAATTAGGTAGACAAAAAAAGGACAGGTAATTTGGGAGACTAAATTTAAATTTCTATTTCCCCAAGGAAAAGGTTGCAAGAAAAATTGAAAGTTTTACAATCGTGAACGTATTTTGCTACATATTTGTTTTCATCAAACTTAGTACAAATGAATGCAATACACATTTATAAGTGATCGATTCGTTACAGTTTTCTATTTCTTTACATAAAGAGAAATATAGGTACTCCGAGAGTTGAAATCTGAAATTCTTGCATTTATTTTTGTATATACTAAACTTGAAAGAACATCTTGTCATACAAAACGCACAAATTGTAAGTAATTATGAAATTTATATTATCTTCCAGGTGCTGCTTATTGTCAAGCTGTTGATAAACTGTTTCCTGGTACGTATACTGAAGAGTACTATACAAAACTCTTCGCATACTTGAAAAAAAACTATGGTTACAGCTAAAATATACATATTCGAGTTGATAAAACACAAAACACGATAGAGTCTCTCAGTCTTTACAAAATCAATTATTAAAAATTTAATCAAAGAATCAGGTGTCAAGCAAGGTTGGCAAAGTAAGGAAAGTGACTGAACGAAAGTTTTTGTTTAAGAAAACCAAACAAGATTTAGTAAATAAATCGAGGAATCAAATTGAAATCAGTGATAATCATTATTCTTTTAAGCTTTGTTTCTGTGAAAAAATAATTAAGTTGATTAAACCATGATACAACTGACAGTCATAAAAAATGTTTAATCTAATGTTTCTAGCTATTCATATTTGTTTGTACATTTGTGTATATAGGTAAAGTCCAACTTCGGAGAGTCAAAGTGCAGACCAAACTCGAGCATGAATTTATAAATAACTTCAAATTATTACAGGATGCCTTCAATAAGACTGAAACAGACAAGGTATTGAGCTTATAGTTTTTTAAGGTTGAATAGAAGTTTGAATGGCTTCGTAATATGGATTCTATAACTTTGAAGCATGGAAGCGTTTCACAATACGTTTTATGTAAATCCATATTTTAATTTTTAAAACTTTAAATGATTAGCTTAAGTTTAAAACTTTTTGTGATTTCATATAAACCCGTTGTCTATAATTATTTAAACATTTATACATATATTTGATCATAGAACCCTGGAAAATAAATTCACGCATTTAATGCTTTGCACTTTAGATAATTCCAGTCGAACGCTTGGTAAAGGGAAGGTTTCAAGATAATATCGAATTTGCTCAATGGTTCAAACTGTACTTTGATGCAAACGGTAGAGGAATGAAATTCAGCCAACCAAAAAATAGACCACAATCTGTCATTACTAGACGACCAAAGAGATCACGTAAGTATATTTAAGGGGTTACAGAACACTTAAGGAAGTTAACCTTTTAAAAATCAGCTTAACGTTTAAATCACATACTTTAAGTAAAAATCAAGCTTATCAATGATCAAAATTAGTGTTTGTCAAACTGCTATATAATATATATCCAATGTAATTTTTCATGTAAATTGTTTTGTATTTTTTTTTTATAATTTTGGCAACAGGTCTAAGTAAATATTTTGTCAAAATTTTATGAAAATTAAACGATCGAAATCTATTTTAGTCAAAGTGTTGGGTACACCCTTGAGAAAGTCGAATGCAAACAGAAAGACTACCTTTTTTCTTCTTCGTTGAATTCAGTTTTTGTCGTTGGTATATAAAAGATATAGTGTTGAATATAGTATTATTATAGGATTAAACACATTTTTTCTAGAGGTTATTGATGTGTAAACCGGGGCGATTAACTCACAAACTGAATAAAAGTCCGCAGGACTTTTATGTTAAGTTTGTGGGTAAGAGCCCCGGTTTACACATCAATAACCTCTAGAAAAAATGTGTTTAATCCTCATAATTCTTCAGTCAAACATTCGCTATTTTTAGTTAAGATTTTTTGTTTGATGGCTACTACCATCAAATGCACATGTCTTAACTAAGGAGTTAGCCGCCATATTGAATTTCTAAAATCCGTAAATGTTCGATAAATGCAACAGAATCTAAAATGAAATAGCACCTACCTCAAAAACTGCATTTTAATGAGATATTATCCGAATTTGAAGCGTACAAGTAACGAAATAATCTTTCGCTTGAAAGTTTTCATTTGTATGACGTCGTGTTTTGCCATGACGTAAATGCGCTAAATCATTCATGACATTTCGCGGAATTTTTCATGAATTTTAATTTTATGCATTTTCAAAGCTTTAATGCAATATTTTGTTTTGTTAACATTAAAATAGAAAAAAACTGTTATGTTTTTGTTTTTCAATCTCAATTTGCTGAAAATCCCGGACTCCCTGCATATGCATGTGTATCGCGCATGAATAGATGGTACGAAAGTAGTTTCGGAAACATGGTTTATCGAAGTGTAAACCAAGGTAAAAAATTCTAATTGACCAATCCGTTTCAAGTATTTATAGATATGCAAATCATATAAGAAATAATAAAACCCCGTTTACCCTAGCAAAACAGATCGATCTTTCCTGAGATCGTTCTTAAAAAGATCGATCTTTCCCGATATTGTTCTTAGAAATATCGATCTTTCCCGATATCGTTCTTACAAAGATCGATATTTTGTCTTATGTAAATGGGAAAGATCGATCTTCAATTGGATTTTAAAAGTCCACTCCCAGTGGTGGTTTTAAAAAGATCGATTTTTTATGAATAGATCCTTCAAGTCTAAACACTTAGATCGATCGCGATCGATTTTTCTAAAAGTGAAATTGCTATATTTAGATATGAAAATAAATCTGCGAATGGTCAATTTAGTATATCCGTATAAATCTCTGCCTCTCGGGGTTTCATCCAAATTTTCCAATAATTTTACAGAACGTCAAGATAAGACAAGTGAAGAAATATATTCCGACGTGCTTGCGTCATTCTTCTGAATAGATAAATCCTATTTATTTGCTGTAAATTCATCCTCTTCAAACTAAATGACCTTTCCCTTATAAGTGATAGCCTTCTCACATTTCTTTGTTAAATGACTTGTGACATGTAAATCATTAAGATAATAAATAACTGCATAAGTAATTCTAATGAACAAACTATTTCCTGAAATACAGCATATTTACGATTTTTACGAAATGTAAGGTAATTAGGTCACACAAATTCTTTTTATATTGCAGTGTAAACGCTCTAGGTTTAAAACATCGATCGCGATCGATTTTGTCGATTCAATTTCGAGCAAGTGTAATCGTTGTCTAAGAGTTAATTATTCTGAAATCGTACATGTATCATTTTACATCTATAAGATAAAAGTATAACTTAAATGGTATCTATGTGGTTTGTTATCATTAACTTTAAGCTATTAAACAGAACAGGCTTATTGGGTACATCTGAAGCTACATCAGAAGAAAAGTATTCAAGAACCATGTCAACACCCTTGGAAAAGAAAAGATTGTTTTTTATAGATTTATACTAAAGGACGAGTTTATGATTTATAATGACACATCATATGTCATCAAAGTTGACTTAAGATGAATTTTTGTATGTAGCTTTTGTTCATATAGCTCATATTATTTCTTCTTACTGATAAATCCCTGGCTTTCAAATATTTTGGTTTTAGCGTTTCAGGTGAAGGTAAACCAAGAATAGTTCTTCCGACACACGAACTTAAGTGTTAATGTCATGAATGGCATTTGTAGCAATTTTTTTCAACCTGTAAAATTATTTTGGAACCGGCCTGCTAGATAAAAACAAACAACATTATAGTGAATCATGTTGCTTTGTATATCTATAAAAAAAGAAAACAACACTTTATAAATTTTATGCGTTCGAAGTGCTTTTCTGGATTCACAAAGGCAAATATTTGAAAGTCAAGGATGTATAAGAATCGAAATAGAGGAAGAGCTATATGACCAATGCTAATATTTGAAAGCCAAGGAAGTATAAGAATAGAAAGAGAGTAAGAGCTATATGACAAAAAAGGTTTCAAAATAATAGCCAAATATGCAAATCTATCAAAGTTATGACAATTATATTGACACAATTGGATGTTGTATTTAGGCCAGTGTAATGCAGAAGTGTCATTTTTGATGTCACTGTGTCATCATAAGCATAATCGACAAATTTGACAAAAAAAACTTTCTAATTATATACTTCTGTGACATTGAATTTGAGCATAAACGTTGTACACAAACAACAATTTTACTCGCACGAACAGATCTGTTTTTGAAAATGTTTGCTTTTTCTAAAAAAAAAAAAAAATCGTCCTGAACATGCATGAAATATTTGCCACTGGACGCTATGCAAACATCATTCAATCAATCTTAAATGAGTTTTTACTTTTTAACATATTACATAATCATATATGACTAAAATGTTCTCAATTACTAGTATACAGTTTAATATAGACTTAGGAAACGGTTCTCACAAAATGTATAAACAGGACCATCTTAACCGAGCCTCCTCATGGGGTTTTTGATTATGTGATTACTTGGACACCCCCATGAGGGGCCTCTTAACCAAAACGAACATTCTACTGGAAGAAAAAATTCTGTATTGTGTTTAAGACGCTTAAGGGACGACAATTTGATATCTAGGGGAGGAGACCAGGCGATTTTTTGAAGATAGAATATTTATTTTCATTTTTCATGCATTTTGTGTTGCAGTATATTCATTTCCATCCTATCTTATGGAAGGTTACTTATTTTCAGATTTTATCAGGCCAGGATATTCATTTTCAGACTCATCCTGTCCCTACCCCCAACCCCAAGAAATCAAATGATAGTTATCTTATCATTGGATCTTGTATAAAGATGTCCTTTGATGCAAAATTTTGCCAAAAAAACAGTAACAATTTACAATATCATATAAAAAAAGTCTATTCAGCAGCAGTAAGTTACGGAAGCGTATTAGCGCCACACAATTATTTTTTTATAATTTTCTTCCTATCTTTGCGATATAACGCAAACCTTTGCGTTATAACGCAAACATCTTGATTTCAATTATTCATTAAGTTTTGTATATATGTCCGTCTGTCATTAAATTCCTGTTGTGATTTAGTTAGGAAAAGAACCATAAATACAAGGCAAAGTCATTATAATAAATATGCATAGGAATCAGAAAAGTATATAATTTAACAAGAAAATTGAAATGTTATAGGCATATTTCATTTGAAAGGCCAACATTTTTAAAATTTTGATTAAGTAGATAAGAGCAAAAATAATGTCATACAATTGTAAAACTGTCAAGTCAAATAGAAAAAATGATCTTTCTGCTGTAAAATGAATTATTAAGAAAGATTTTTTTTTTTTAATTTTGATGTAAGAAATCGTTTTTTAAAATCTCAGAATATGATAAAGATTCTTTGATAAAAAGTCATGAAATTTTCAATCTAGTGTGGTAACTTGGTACAATGTAGCAATTTAAATGGAGAGAACATAATTTTGTTAATAAAACATCTTCATTTTATTCATTTATTGCAAAAGGGTAGTTAACCAACCTTTCACAATCCTCAAACGAGAGCTTACTTTGGAAGTATATTTATATTCGGCTATAGCTATATTAGCAGGGTTGTTTTTTTTTTCTTCGGTATAACTTTAATTTACTCAATTTTCATTGTAATATATGTACCTGTATTATCATGTAAATGGGGGGGGGGGGCACTTTATAGTGTGATGTTCGGTGTGAGCCAATGCTCCGTGTTGAAGACCGTACTTTGACCTATAATGGTTTACTTTTACCAATTATGACTTAGATGGAGAGTTTTCTCATCGGCACTCATACCACATCTTCTTATATCTATTATCCTGCTCATTATTAGTTAAATAGTAAAGCATTTTACTTTGCAATGAGTACAAAGAAGATAAATTTTAATATATGCAGCCTCCTCCATTAATAACTCCTGCTTCCTTTGAATCTTAAATAAGAAATAAGATAAAACAAATGTTTGCGTTATATCGCAAAGGTTTGCGTTATAACGCAAATGTTTGCGTTATAACGCAAAAGGTTTGCGTTATAACGCAAAGGTTTGCGTTATTTCGCAAAGGTTTGCGTTATAACGCAAACATGGGAAGAAATATTAAAAAAAAAAAATTGTGTGGCGCTAATACGCTTCCGTAGTAAGTAACGCTTTTTTATATCTTTATTCTCAATAATCCATATACATAGGTATAGAGAAGACATTTATGTACAGTATTTACAATAAGACAGAACAAACAAGACAATTGATAAGACAATGTATGAAATAAATTTTAGCTAGGAGCACATATACCTGTGTTGATAATCTTTATAAATTTACAAAGTTTAATCAGTTTTGATTTGTGTTTTGAAGACATAATCTGCTTGTATTTTACAATATTTGCATTTTTAAAATAATAATGTGACATACAATGTTTCCTGTTTTCTTCAAAGTATTTACATTCTAATATGTAATGAAATTCATCACCAATGTCATTTTTATTACATAGAAGACACAGTCTATTATTTCTAACTATATTGTTCCATCTACCCTGTTCAATAGGGAGCTTGTGATTTGTGGTCCTAAATCTACACAAATCAATAGATAGTTTGTTCCCAAGAATTTCAAAATAATCTTCTTTTCCAAAAAAATCTTTAAAAAGTTTATAATTAAGTGCTTTTGGTGAGTTTTCAAGCAGAGAATGCCAGACTTGTACAAACTGATCTTTAAGTCTGAGCTTGATGAATGAAACTAACCATTTGCAATTTATAAATGATTGTGTTTCCCATACATTTGGGATACCACATTCATTTAAAATAGTCTTTACCCTGTTTAACCATGAAAAATTCACATTGTCATTAATAGACATGTGATAACACAATTTATATAAAGTATATGATAGTTTCGTCACTTTACCAGAATTTAATTTCCCCCAAAATGAGATCAATCTAGTTTTTATGTCCAAGTCTATAGGATATTTTCCAAGCTCCCCATAAATCATGTAAGAGGGTGTTGATGTTTTCAGACCTAATAATAATTTACAAAATTTCAGTTGTACCCTTTCAATTATGTCATTATTTCCAATACCCCATACTTCACAACCGTACAGTAATATTGGTTTCACCATTTTATCAAATAAGTCCAACTGACTACATATAGAAAGATTATGAAGACGACCTAGTCTTAACACTTCGTAAAGAGCCTTAGTGGCCTTTTCTACGTTAAATTGTTTTGTTTTATTAAAATTGCCTGAATAGCATTTTATCATATTGACAAATGCAAATGGATGAAAAATGTTCTACAAATATTATATATTATAATTCAAATTCTAGTACGTATGTTAAATCTACAGTGACTGTTAGACACTGCGAGTTAAACAAACGCTCAGGAAATTAACTCTTCGTCTTTATTTGCCCAATTAAAAGAAGTTTGCAGACGTATTTTTGTCATATTTCATACAAACTCCTACCAAAATACGCTTATAAATAGTTTTCTTATGGAATTATTTAAAATGTTGTAGCAAGAAATTCAACTAAGAGCTCAGCATCGTCCACATATGGATTGGAATCTGGAGGTCAGTATAGCAGTGAATTAGATGTAGAAATTGAAGAACTTAGGAAGAAGGTACGCATTGTTTAATTCATAGCAACAAATAACTGAAGTAAATTTACTTGTATAATTTTTGTTGTGGTAATCTACAGTTAGAACAGATAAGAACATTACAGGGATGAATCCTTTCCTAAGCTTGCTGTAGATGGTTTCGATGATTCGTTGTAAGCTTATTTGGCTAAAACATTTGCATCAATAAAACTTTTAGAACTGATCCATCGTGATTAGAAAACCCTTCAGAACATTTGCATCAATTAAAGTTTTAAAACTGATCCATCGTGATTTAGAAAGAATGATTTGATGAAAAAATATTGGTATGATTTCAGTACATACAACATTGTACGTGTTTCCGAAATAACATCTGTACTAAAATGTTTTAATATAGATATCATTAACAAGGGTCTGGATGGGGGTCCTTCATTTCTGTATTTTTAAGGCCATTTTTCTCTATTCTTTATACTTTTTGCCAAGTATTCTCTATTCTTTATATTTTAGCACCTCAGTATTCTCTATTCTTTATATTTTTTGCCCATTATTTTCTATTCTGTAAACCCCCATCCACACCCTCATTAACGGTACTAATTTTACTGCACCAGATACGGATTTCGACAATTAATGCATCTTCAGTGATGCTCGGGACATGGAATATTTGAAAATCAAAAACCTAATTCAAACAAAGAGATATTAAAACCAAATAGGACCAAAGGTATAACCAAACTCAGACAACGATTTACAGCTATACATGAGGGAGATACATTTTTTAATTTAAAATAATTTCCAAAATTTAATAACAGAAACTTTTATAAAGCCAAAATATCTGTATTTTCATGCCAGTATCCAAGAACTGGCTACTGAGCTGGTAAAACCCTCAAGTACTAGTACTGACCGTTCACCATCAGATGTTTCGTTGTAATAACATTAACGATACCAAGCATTTCGACAATTAATGTCTATCGATATCTATTCGGTAATGCTTGAGGCCAAAAGGTTTAAAAATCCAGAACCTAATGCAAGGTTAAAGAGCTGATCAAGCTTTTGAGAGCACCAAAACCAACCCAAAAAGAAGTCAAAACGCACTTAGACGACCAACTAACAACTTAAGTTTAAGCATAAATCGTGCCTTATATAATACATTACCTTGAGTTAGAGTGTTTCATTTAACCAGGTTATGCGTTTTAAAATGGATAAGGAATCATTAGAAAAAGAAAGAGACTTCTACTTCGGCAAGTTATGTCAAATTGAAGTATTGTGCCAATCTGAAGATTATGAAGATGAGCCGATGACAAAGCATGTAATAGACGTGTTATGTGCTTATGAGGTAAAATTATATGGAATTATTTTAAAATAATTTGATTTTGTGTGTAACACGTCTTCCGATTGGCCGAAAGTTGTTTGTCTATAACCTCATAGACATAATTTGGTCATGTGACCGTGACGTCATTAACGTTTTTTCATGATTTACTCCTTATAATGGAATGCTGATACGCGAGTTATTCAGTGTGCACCACATTTTTTATGTTATTTCGAATAGACAAAAACTATTACAGCCATTCCTAATGTATAAAATACTTTTGTGTTTTAATGACTATTCAGGAATATACAAAACAGACATGAGTGATTAGATAGGACTAGACTTTTAACAATTTGTGCATTCGGAATGCAATTTCTCGGATGTCTCTTATCCATCGTGTTTTGATAATTTTCTACATTATAAATAATGTAATTTAAATTGCAATTCTATTTTACAAAAGATTCAGCCAAAATATCTGAACTATGTTTTGTTCATTATTTCGTATATATCTTTCATTTCAATTTTCACCAAATTGATATTAGCATGGTTTTTGTAGAAGTACCGGCAAATAACCTTAAAACTGTTTGTTTTCGAATATCCATACTGTACTTATTGAATTATAAGTGTTTTCGATCAAACACTTTATATTTGTCTACATCACTTCTTTAAATTACAATGATATTCTTAAAAAAAAAAACCAGTTTACTAGTTTTTATAATGTTTGTCCGATTTTTTTGAATATGTGTAAACTTTTTGGCTGGACCAACCATGATAAAACGATTTGTTCGTATAACGTTGAAGATCCGACAATACTTGTATTACAGGAATAATAAATAATCGAAGTTCGAAAGGTTCAATGTATTACATAACATATCGTCTTAATCTACTTCTGTCATTTTGTTTCCTGTCTTTTGTTTCGTTTTTAAAGTAAAACGACGACGAAATGCGACGAAAACCGAGTTGAATCAGTATACATACCACTGTGAATAAAATATGCTCATTGCGCCAACCCAACACCAAAGCAAAACAAATGAAAGACCGAAAGAAGTTCTTTACTTTCTTCAATAATGGTGCCGAAGTGTCGAACGCATATGTATAGATCTAAATCGTTTCTAGCTTAGACTGACAAGGTTTGAATCGTTTCTAGCTCAGACTGACATGGTTTGAATCGTTTCTAGCTTAGACAAGGTTTGAATCGTTTCTAGCTTAGACTGACAAGGTTTGAATCGTTTCGAGCTTAGACTGACAAGGTTTCAGACTTTAAACAGACACATTGATACATGTATATAAGGTAGCATAATTAATATTTAGAAGTAGATAACCCTTTCTTATGTTGACCAGACTGAGAGATATGGAAAAAAACCCAATAGTTTAATGCAAATTAACTTTACTCAATATTATCAGTATCAGACATGATTGTCAAAACAGCTACAAGTAACAACTACATAAAATCATACCGTATCAAAGAATTATCTCAGTTTTAAAAAGCTAGCTCAAAGTTACTTATCTGCACGCGTACGCTTATACTGTCGTGTCCAATTAATCAAATAAATGAATTAACAATTAAAATGTATTTTGCTTCAGGATGGCTCCAAACCACCAGTGGAGGAAAATAAAAAACACTGACACGTGTCATTACACAAAGGAATCAGATAGTTATCCGAAGGACTTTTAATAAATTTCTTTGTAAAAACAATAGATGTCGTTTATTTTTATGTCTTTTTTCAATGTTTCATGGAAGTGGTTCATTTTCACTTAAAAACTAGTCACTGCGATTCCATATAGTATCGAGAGAAAAAAAAATGATAATACATAAAAAGGACAAGCAGGAATGAATACCACACAGTACAAAAGAACACATCTACCACAATACCCGACTCTTGAAAAAAGACATACCAATTCAAATATCCAGTTCTGATGTATCGGATGCGATTTAGACTAATATCTATGGTGAACATATTTCCGATACAAAGCAACGTCGAAAAACTGAAACAAAAGAAAAGACGACACGTGTTAGCCTAACATGTAAATACAGTTGGTTATGAACCGAACCTTGATTTCTAAATTAATACCTAAATTTCATTTATTTCAAATTTCCAATAAAAAAATAGAAGTATTTAATGCTATTCCTATGCCTTCTTCCCTGTCCATTGCTTTTTTTAAATAAAGAGGAAAATCTTTAACCCCCCCCCCCCCCCCAATGTTCGATTCATGACATGTCCAGTGCGTTGGATAATGTTGTTTTTCAACAATCAGCAAGCACATTCTAATGATACAAACTGCTGTAAACTCATTGTCTAATAGGAAGCGGTAAGCAGCAAACCAGGACTGAATGGCTAAATTTTTCCAGGAACCGATAAGAAGCCATCCAGATAACTTAATTTCAAAATCCATTGCAAAGGTGCTATCACGTCCATTCATTTCATATTCTTGTATAAAGAAAAATTCTCACAACAGATAATTCCAGTTTTCTTGACGTTTGTTGAACGTATTTATATACATCTTTGAAAAAGTTATACTTGCTTTGCACGATGGGAAATGTCAAAGAGGCAGGTTGAAAAGGAGATTGAATTTATATATATAATTTGGGTTATAATTTCTCATGATCAATAGACATGCTTAATCAACATTACCAACACACTTGTGTGCTAAAACATGATATGACATACATGTTTCTGGGCTAATCTTCATCAGGTTCACTCATGATCAAAAACATAAAAGCTTGGAAAGCAAAAAATAACTAACGATTGAGAGCACAAACACCAAAGGACGCATACACAAAATCCAAAACTGTCTCAAAAACGTTATGAATTGCACGATCACAAACAGGACGTAAAGGTAAAACCTTCTATCAAAACATTGGGTATTGCAAATAAATTAGCTTTTATATAATTCGCCGTTTCAGAATATAATGTATTCTGGGTAATATTTCCAAAAGCGTACACCAAAACCATGTGATTGGTTTACAACGTCCCATGCAGTTTTAATTCAACCAATGACGTGACGATGTTTTTATTTAAGTGTATTATTATCATAATTATTATTATTATTATTAATACACTCAGGCACCATTGTGTGCAACAAGAGCAACATAATATAGTATACAAAATAATGAATTGGTCAATAAATATTACAAATAAAAAATAACGCAACCCTTTTATCACTACGGGTGTAAGAACAATGAAATTACCCATGGTCTTTTAGATTCCAAAACAGCGATTTACATAACATTATAAACTGGAAATTCACCAACGAAATGCAACATTCTTAATCAGGCAAAATAATGAATCACTTGCTCCGGTTACCATCGGGGACTGATAGTCCTCCAGCAGCGGTAACCATGCTAGCAAAAGAGAGGCGAAAGATACCAAAGGGACATCCAAACTCATAAGTTGAAAATAAACTGCAAAATAACATACAAATTTTATAAACTTAAAATTGGCAGATAGCACTTTTCATTTGTTAAATCATGTCTATACCTAAGCACTGCCTCCTGGGCATGCGTACGTACATGGTGCCCTTGTGTACCCGATAGTCTTCTTGACAGTGGAACTGACCAATAAATTCTTAAGAAATTATATCGGTTTGGGTATTACACTTTGATAATAAATTTGAAATCTAAAAATTTCAAGTATTGTAACTCATTCATAATAAAGTTAAATTGTATTACATTTTCAAATTATATATGTCGTATGCTAAAATATTGGATAAAAGCAGGAAATGAAGATTATTTCCATAAACTGTATAAGATTTTTTTAATATATATAATCATGGTCTTTCTTAACTAATCAAATTTTATTAAAATTCAATTAAATAAAGAGTTACAATCATAAAGTGAAACTTCCTCAGTTTGTATAAACGTCATTTGGTTTCACAGTCTGTTCGATTGCTAACTGAGCACATGTCTTACCCGTAATCTATTGATGATTGTATGAACTGTATTAATATTTACGCACGATTCCATGTTCGTACCTTTTAAGAAGAAATGTATTAGTTTTGTTTATCAATCAGTGCCCATGTATGCTATTTAAAGCAGCTACCATCACCTACTTTCATGTTTTCTGGAGAATTTTTTCAAGTTGACAAAAAAAACCTGTAATCGCACTAGTAAATTTCTACAAATGAAAATTAAACCTAGATCAAAATGAAATATGATAGATTTACACGGACCATCTAATACATTATATTAAACTATCCTTTTTCTAGTGCCATACAGTTGCTGTAGTTTCCTTAGTATATGCGTTGATGCACTTTGACATGATTAAAAAAATTTGTTTAAAAGACTCAAGATAGTTCTCCGTGATCAGTTTACAGACAGCATGAATTAATAATAAGAAGGATGGCTGCTACAAGACTAAGACCACCAGAGGCTACATCTAATCCAAATGACCAGCTAAGTGTGGATGCAGCTGTGTAATAATCCATCCACTTTACTCCGTAAACAGTTGCTCCGGCAATAATTGCTCCAACTGAAATATTTAAAAGTAAGGCATCAAAGAAGTTTAGCATATGAACAGATATTGAAAGGTTTCGATATGACGTAATTTGAGTGTGAGTTATTTCCCTTGGTCGCCATTTTGGAGGTCTAATTAAATAGTTGATTTTCTTATTTTACTAACAAAATTGGAACAAGTCTGAAAAGATATCCTAACTAGATCGTAGTGATGAATCAAGCAAGGCTAAAAGAAATGAACATTGTTCAGGAAACTATCTTAATTTTTTAAAATTTAGAGGTCGGTATAACAAGTTGAATTTGGCTGATTTATGAAGGAATATGTATAAAAGAAGAAGATGTGGTATGATTTCCAATGAGACAACTCTCCACAAGAGACCAAATGACACAGAAATTAGTGTGTTTCATATACCTCAAAAATAGCAACACAAGGGAAGTAACTTTTGCTCAAATTGTGTCAACCTATACTTATCTATCGAGTAAAATCAATATGACAGAAAATAAAATACTTACAAAAACACCTAAAGGTCAACATGTGGACTTCAAGTACAGTACAGTCAAGCTTTAATCTCCCATAAGTTGTATATATGAAACTATTTATCGGAATATGCATGAAATATTTGCCACTTGGTGTTAAAGTTGTCAATAGTCAATAAACTATTCATGTAAACTATGTATGCATGCAGATATCAGAAACAAAGATGAATTTTCTTCGGATAAATTGGAAGTTTGAATTGGAATCGTCTTCTATAAAATTTAAGATATTAAATTCTCCGAATTTTCCAACTTTTATCATATTTATCCGTTAACATTGATGTCCGGAAAATAAAATAGTCCTAATGTAAATTGCAGAAGATGTTCAACTGCCGTTTGAAAATGATTCTATATTGGGTTTTTCTGATAATAAAATTACAGCATTCTAACCACAATTTCATAAGCATCAAATAATCTAATAAGGTCAAATAGTTTCGCTTTTGATTTATAATGTTCAAATGGGAAATGACAAACGAATCTAGAGACGACAAAAAATCGCATTTCTTCATATGTATTCATATCACATGAACCACATCGTAATGACGCATGCATAATTAACTTTGGTATATTGAAGTATAATGTTTGAAAGCTCTTCATCCGTATATTCTCAAATGTTCTATATACCATTCAAGAGATAATAAATGTAATTTAAATAATATATAATTTCAATTTAAATATAAAATTATTGTCAATTTAAATATAAAATTATTGTCAATGTAAATATAAAATTATTGTCAATTTATACTGTGTCCTTAAGTTTGAAGGGTGTCCGTCCTCTGGTACTGATTGTAAAAGAAATGCTCGCGTGCAAGTCCTTTGTGCAATTGTTGGCAGATGAGTACTGAGAGGAAATATAAAGTCATGTAGCAATTGAGAACCAATGTTGCATTTGTAGAATTGTTTTTGGGGGTTTACTGTGTGACTGATACATGTTGGTTCAGGCGTCATATCTACTTGAACGAATTAACTGCGTTATCTATCTTACCAGGACTTTGATTTGATATGATATTTTGCAGTCAATGGAAACAACTAAACAAGAATATGAACCTATTGTGTAACCTTTAAATAAAACTCACTCCAAGCTGGAGCACCCCATAAAATAACAAAAATAGGAAAGCTAAAGCAAACAATGGCCAACGATACTTAACATATAGATATTCAGAAGTACTTACATGCAAAAAGTAAAAAGCCAATTATGACATAAGCTAAATATTTGTTGGATAAACAGCAGCTGTATACCGAAAATAAAACTACGGCAACAATTAGGGCAACCAAGCCCGACATCTGTAGAGACAAGTTGATCAGGAAATCATCATAAAAATCTGAAACACAAAGAGGCTTTATTGAAGAATGCATTATGTAACAGTTAAAGCATAAGTCTGGAGATAAGAATAATAAAGTTAGAAAAAAAAACAATTTGCAAGCAACTTTACTCAATAGTTTATACGTCCTCTGGTTTTTTTTACCAATGCTTGAAAACTGTTTGTTCAGCAAACCCTATATACTTCTCAATACTTTTTAAAATGCAGTGGCTATACTAATAAACAAGCCAGCCGGAAATTATTTTTTTTAAATGATTCTCGGCGGTCCGAACTAGTTTATTCTTCCAGAAAATAACTTTCCTGTGATGTTATGCTATCATTCCGGCAATACATGAAATGAAACGAAAATATAAAATAGACTTCTTACAAGATATGTCCTAAGTACTGTTAATTCTTATTACGTTTTACTACCTTTAACATACATTCATACGAAAAATCAAAAGACTCCCAGTGTTTGCCGCTAAAAATTATATTTTGTTTCTGAAAAAGCTTGTACATCTCTTTTATGAAATTCAGTATCAATTAAACATGGAATGTGTTAATGAATTACAACATCGAACGTTCTTAAGATAACAAAATTGTGGAAGAAAGTGTCTACAAATGTCTGTTTAATTTACTGTACTGAAAACGTAAAATTTGGAAACAAGTTTTTTTAATTAATTTATATACTTTTAATTTCTATCTAATTCTTTTTGAAAAATAGTGGCAAAGAAGTCATTTTTACATTGCTAATGCGCAAGCACATATTTTTTTTCTTTTGATATATGTTTTGTTCTGACATATACATCAACATACTGTACAAGGAAAATGGGAGGAGTTTTAAACTGCTTTCTGTAAACAAATAAAACACTATAAATATAACCTAACATTTTAAAAATTCTTACTGCGTAAAAGTGACACTTGAATATTCTATTTACATATATTTTGAGTTGTTTTATAAACTTTAATTACAATGTAAATAATAAATGTAAACCAAAAAGTCTTGGTTAGATATACAATATAAGTTTACTAGAAGTTAATATTTTTTCAACTGTCGAACAGTTAAACCTTATCTACAAAGAAAATAAGGTGCGACATCTTAGATATAAGTAATTCCCATATCACGTGATCTTAACTTAACAGCAAATATATAGTGTAATCGGCAAGAACTGAAGACATGGCCGATAGTTGCTAATTTTGATTGAAAAACATTTCGTGACTTGTATTTGTTTCATAGTTTTAAGATTTATATTAAATAAATAATAATTATCTCCTTGTCTATATATACTGTATCAAGATTATCGTTTTAACAATTATTGACAAATGTGTACATATAATTTCACACGACTTTGTATGCCTTTCTCAATTTTACTTAATGGTAATGCCCTCAAATGTAACTCACCGTCTTCATAATACTTTTCATGACACCCTTTTCACATCTAAGTCATTACGTAAAATGACTTTCATTTTGACTTTTTAAAGTATTGTGATTCGTTTAAAATTTTTAACAGAGACGGAGTTTATCATTTATCAGTGATTTTGCCTCGCCTGCATGCATATTTTTGTCTCGCCTGCTGAACGAGAATCCAAAGCCATTACAGGTCTATTTAACTTGTGGGAGTCTGGATCCTAGTTTTAGTACACTGATATGATTTATATAAAGTTTAACATGAAATTTACAGACTTTATTGACAAATTAACATCAATATCTCATGAAATAAAAGCTACTATAATTATCTTGCTGTTGGTTACTGTTTGTGTTATTTCCCTTTCGATATCATATATTAAATATCCAGTTGTAAAATACATTTGAAAATGAAATAAAATTTATTTAGTCGTTTGATCTCATTTAAAAAGGCTTCATATATCAACTTTAATGTGACAAAGTTGACTAGATTTTGATATTAAAGTTATTCTGAAAGATATACATATGTATAGATGTGTATACATTCTTGGTTATGAAAAGAATAATTTTCATACAGTAACATTCTTTTGAATTTAAATATAATCCTTGACTTACATTTGAAAATGAACCTCATTCAAAACACAGAATTTTTTACTCGAGGACAAAACAAAAAAAATCTAACTTAAACGGACGAATGAATTCTTTCAAGGAACTCAAACGTATTAATGAGTGATTTATCGGTCATAGAATCACCACGTATCTCGTATTTTGTTTGTTTTGATTAGAGGCTAAATTATCATCGCATATCTAAATAGCTTTTAAATGGTAGTTGGCTAGTTTTACATGAATTCCAAAGTTATTTTTTTCTCTGTGCTTGATGGTAGGTTTTCTATGTTCTGAGATCACATACGAAAACACAAACAACAACATATAAATAACACATAGCTGAGAGGGTGATAGAGCAGATTGTTAAACCCGAGAAAACATTGTCAACTGAGGCGAAGCCAAGGTTGACAATGTTTTTCCGAGGGGTAACAATCTGCTCTATCACCCTCTCAGATATGTGTTATTTAATTTATTATACTGGATGTTCTGTTATTGCTGTCGATTAAATTTCAAATTCAAAGTAATAAACTATGACGTCTTGTACATAACAACCATCCGTATTTAATAAAGCGCACACTTGATCAAGCATCTCCGTGAAGGGTAATAGAGTATTTGCCATAGGATAGAGTCGTATTTAATAAAGCGCACACTTGATCAAGAGTCTCCGTGAAGGGTAATAGAGTATTTACCATGGAATAGAGTAAATTTCTCCCTCGTATTAACCAATCAAAATCTGGCATTTTGACATGAAGAATAATAAATTTAAAATATCATTTGAATATCAAAAAGTGTTGTTTAGTTTGTTTTTCTTCCTGGCTGGTAGGTTTGGAAATTTAACTTGTAGTCGAGGCAAAACATTTATATATAAAAAAAACAAAAAACAAAAACAAAAACAGGCTGTTAACTTCTATGTCATTTGGTCTCTGGTGGAGTGTTGTCTCATTGGCAATTATACCACATCTTCTCATTTGTATATTCATGGCTTAGGTGAAAAAATTATGACAACTTACCTGTTCCTTTATATGCATTGAGAACATTTGATATCGAGAAACAGTTACTTATATCGTCTTTACACTGTGAAAACAGTCCAGCAAAGTCTACATCAGGATTATTATCCTGCTCGTTCCAGTACGGAGTGAAAATGGCAACCAGACCACATATGAGAGCCACCCATGTAACAATATATGACACCCAGGATATAGGCGTTGAATCACAGCAACATCCGCCACATGCCATCTTCTGGTATTTTGGTTTATCTTAACACTGTAAATTACTTAACTCGAGCAATCCAATCCCTTATCGTCTCCGATTCTCTCCGCCTTAAGAGGTAACGGTTCTCAACACGTTTCTACGTTCAATAACTTGGCGATTTCTATCTTTTGACTGAAACTTTTTCCTTTCTAAACCTCAAGTCCCACTACAGTGACTTAATATAAGTGATATACCTCAAGTATTTATTACTTAAATAAATATTTTCAAAAGGAAAATATGACAGTTTAAATATATCGGATCTATACGTTTATTATTACTTCTCGTGAAATCCTAATTCACTTATATATATAACGTGGGGTTATAATTTAAATGGAATTCGTGACATTGATTTTAAGGTTATGAGCTACCTGTATATTAAAATAAGAAATATAAGTATTTTTGACGTAGATAACTAGTTTTGTTAGAAAATCACTAAGATATAAAGAAAACATACTAGCTCGCGCCATAGGATTGTCAAATCTAATTGGTAATATTTGAACAAAGTTAAAAAGGAACTAAAACGTGTATATCGTCATAATTTATAGATATAAAGAGTACGTTATTTATTGTTCGTGATTCATTAAAAAACCACACTCGTCATGAATAAAGTTCAATGTATTTTTATGATTTTCAAACATGTTCAAAACATCTTGTGTATTTGAAGGAATTGTTTCATTTAATTCTAATTTTTAGTGATTTATACATTTGTTTTTTTTCATATTTGACCGCATTTTGTTTTTCATATTCAATTTGATAAAAAGTCATTGGGGTGAAAACAAGATTTATATCATTTAAAACATAAAAATTTCATATATACATATATTTTTGCCGCCTGCCCTCCTCCTTCCCCCTCCCCAAACCCTCAACCTGTCGTACCAGGGACATTTTTTTTTCATATCTAACTGCATTTTGTCAAATATATTGATAAAAAGTTTTTGGGATGAAAAAAAGATTTTTATCATTTAGAACATCAAAACTTTCATATATACATGTAATTTGCCAGCCTCCATCCTCCAACCCTCACCCTGTCGTAACACATCGGGAACATAGAAATACAAAGAACTATAATCGTGCGTGCGTGCACCCATCTGTCAGTTCTTGTAAGGGGTCTTACACCTACATATCTTTTAAGATTGTTTTAAAATTTTTATCAAAAGTGTAAATTTGCAATGTCTCAGTCGAGTTCAAAAAGCAGTGCCGTTAGACTATTTTCACAAGTCTTATAACCTTGGAAAGTGAAAACAATATAGAAAAAGTGAGGCGAAAGATACCAGAGGGACATTCAAACTCATAAGTCGAAAACAAACCGACAACGCCATGGCTAAAAAAATAAAAAGACAAACAGACAAACAAATGCATTGTAAGCGCTCGCATTCCTTATTTCCTATCCGTTTTTTCTGAAATTTGTATCAAATGTTTATATCAAAAATGTCTCGATCAAGTTTGAAAGTCAGCATCGATCAACTATTTTTACGCGATGTATGCCCCTTCCATCTGTAAATTATATGAAAATTGCATTAGAAGTCCTCTCTATCACGCCTTCATTTCTTAATTAATTACTACATGTACAGGAATTAAGCCCCATGGAAATAAAACAATATGGAAATTTGCATTGTCAGCGCTTTCACTCTTCATTTCATGTCCAAGTTGTGTCAAATGTTTGTATAAGTAAATTGAATGGCTTGGACGGTTAGTTCAAAAATCAATGCCGATCAGCAATCTTTACACACATTTGCGAAAAAGGCAAATCATAAGCTTAAGCAATCGTGTGCTTTCTCTAAGTTTAGACTTAAAACATATCGCATACTTCCAACTATTGAAATTGACAATATTGTATCTTTAATATATTTACATTCAGCAGTTAAGCGATATTGATTTTTACAAGTAAGATGTCCGCTAAGACCATCAATATTTAATAATTCGTTTATGATAGAAATATTTTATGCATTTCGAATGAGTAACTCGTTTGAATGAGAAGGTTGATACTAGGTGGTCATTTATTAAGGAATTGTAAGGTAAAAATTGTAAGAAAAATTAATTACCCAAAAATTAAATAACTTAAGGATTGATTCTGGCGAGGTGACAATTTAGTTAGTCTAAGAGTACATTTCTTCCCTGAGTAGTGATTTTGCCGTTCTTGTCTGTACAAATGTAAGTAAATTATTTTATTTTTTTAAATTACCAAAGTTTAATGAATAAACACAAAGTAAGATATAAAAATCGATAAAAAAGAATTAGATTATGTTCATCAATAAAAAAAAAAAAAAACAATGAAATACATTGAACAATTTTTCACAATAAAAAGAATTATTATATAATGTATAGTACCTAGCAAGATTTTGTTAGGTGGACGAATCGGGCCTTAAAATGGTCAAATTGACTTTTTATGTACAAAAATAGGCAGAACGGTTATATTTTGACTTCATTAACTCACTGATTTCGTTTGGGTTAAATTGAAATGATAATAGCTTAATAAGCCTGAGAAATGCCATTTTCTGTTACATTTGTAAGATGCACAAGCTTAAAACTTTGCGTAGACATGGGTATGATTATGATATTGAAATATTGCAACGTTTCTTTTCAAAGTAATAATTAAAGAATGAAAACGCATGATCTTGAAGGTTCTCAAATTTCTGAAGAATGCGCTATTTTAATTGTTAAAATTCTTTGTGTTACGAAAATTTGGTGGAAAAGTACATGTAAGATCTGGCATCTTGTAGTAGTCATATAATATTCCACAAACATTTAAGAGTAATTTTATAGTTTCCTTAAAGAATATTTAACTTCAGATCTAGAATTTTTTTTAGAGATCTTTATAAACAATATTATTGTTACATAAGAACATTTCACATTCTGACATAATTCACGAAGGACAAATTTCAAGGTTAATAGGCAAAGGTGAAACAATAAATAATTCATCCAATAACTCAATAACAATGACCAGTCCATATCAAAATAAGTGTTAGGGGTCAATTGGGTAGGGAGAAAATAACGGAATTTGAAGACAAATTTTCTTGTAACTACTGAAACACGAGAATACCCCATTTTTTTTGCTAGTATTCCAAAAACTATATGTCTGTATTAGCATAGTTTAGATCACTCATAATCGTATTTATAGCATTAGAAAGTGTTGGGGTTATTTGGGTAGAGAGAAAATAACGGATTTTTAAGACAAGTTTTTCTTGTAACTACTGCAACACCAGAATCTCCCCAAATTTTTTATAGTACACATGTATTTCAAAAAACCTGTGTGTTTGAATTGGCATAGCTTTCGATCTCTCATAACCGTATTTATAGCATTAAAACGTGTTAGGGGTTAATTGGGTAGGGGAAAAATAACGGATTTTTAAGAAAAACATTTCTTGTATCTACTGCAACACCATAATCGCCCAAAATTTTTGATAGTATTTCAAAAACCTATATAATAATATGTTTTTATTGGCATAGCTTTCGACCTCTCTTTATCGTATTTTATCATTAGAAAGATTTGACTTCAAAAGCATTTCTGACTTTATACAGAAAATTCGCCTGATTAAAGCCTTAATTTATTAACTCTTTATTCACGGATGATTTATATTTCTTAAAATACTGCAAATAATCATGTTGATTAAAACAGTGGGATTGTCAAAAAGTGAGTTTAAGTGAACTCCGGTAAAGCAAACATCCAATTCCCTCATAAGATCCTATCACACACGTTTTATTTCAGAGGATAAATGTTAATGCAATATAAATAGCGGGCAATGTTCCAATGTATTTACTTAGTAATTGCCTTGGAATTGGAGAAACATCAGGTTAAACAATACCCCCTCCCCAACCCTTAATCAGGCGAAATAAAAAAGTCATTGGTATCTTGAAATTAAATGCTTCATAAGTATATTTCGTACCTTGAAATTGTCGTATATCTGTATTTTATGTCTTATTATTTTTATATCACTTATTGTAACTTGTTTGTTTGTTTATTTATTTTTGCTTAATCAAAAAAGTGTTTCTCTCCGAAGGTAATGTTCCATCGCGATTGCTTACAACATTGCTGACCCTATAGTACTAATTCTAGTTTCACAATGAGATACGGTTGAACCGATTTATTTGTCAACAATTGAAAGATCCAACATATACAAATAGCTGACGGCTGTACTTTGTACATGTATTATCACCTGAAAATAAAACATACAATGAAGTCTATACCATTGGAGAGTTAAATAGCATACATTTTAATTTTAAACGAAAACCACACGAATTAAAATTTGCTAGACCGTAAAACTTCTCTTTATTATCATTTGAATTGTATTGTTAAAGTTTTGTGTAAACATTCTTACATTTTATTAAATGTGTATTGCAATGAGCTTGTGTACATTATTTTGAAACTAGTGTAAAATAACTGCAAACGAAAACTCTGCGTCAGCTACATATAGGTTTTACTTAAAACGAACAAATGCCGAAATCTTCGAAGGTAAGTTATCGTTTAATATTTGTATGTGTATAATTTATGTAAATAATGTGTTTATATACAGACTCTAACCGTATTCGTCTTTACGTTTCCACGGAATACTGAATCACATATATATGTTTCGACTACCGGAAATCGTAGATAAACTAATCATAGCTATCAGGTTAAGTTCGATCGTCGTCTTACTCGATTAAGAGATCAAAGGTCAAATCCTGTACTTTGTTATTTCTTCATTAAGCACAAGACTTGTATACACGGAAGAGGCAATATATGTCGGCTCTTTATCAAAATTTAAGTTTATAGTTAAGACAAGATGTTTCCCTAGAGACTGCTTCCTTGCAAGCTGATGCTAACAAATCAAGAATTATAAGCAATCTGGTTTTTAAGACATCGAAACACATCTTAACGGGACAATTTAATTCCTAAATTCTCTAAATCCCCAAATTTTATTCAAGGAGCCTATCTAACGTGGCGATTTTGAGCAATTGAAATCAGAATATCATTTATGATGCTTCGATTGCACGTAAAGATGTTCTCATTTAGTAGATTATAAATGAAAAACTTTTATTACAAAAAACCGATTGGGGATATACGTCAGTGAGACAGCAACCCAGCGATACAAGTAAGACTTCAACTGGTCAACAAACAGTCAAACTATATAATTTGTCGAGCTCTGAATCGTCTCGAGTAAATAAAGTTATGACTTAAGTCATAAAAGATACTACCAAAGATCCACCATCAATGCCAAATTTTCTCAAAAACCAAACCAAAAACTGTTAAGGTATCACCACATTAGTCAACTGAGGACGAGGTTCCGCATGAACATGTTAAGAGGTAAAACTAGGTTTTGAGATCTTTTTTTACTAATTTTCGTTCGATCTCCGACCGGGACATATTCATTCTATTCTCTGCCTCGCCCGTAAGAGCGCGGTATTGAGCAGTAAGTGAATATACTGGTCGACTCAAAGACAGAATAATGTGTCCGCGTAGGATGACATCGCTTCCTGTGATTTTTACCATATAAATGTACCGGTCTAGTAAAACAGGGTTTGCATACATAAACATCAATACTTGTTTTCGCCCTGCTTGTAATATTTTCCACTGGACGTCAAACCATTCAACAATTGCTGTGAAACTTCAAATGAAGATCATTCGGTCTCTATTTTAAAAATTCAAAACAAAAGAACGGCAATTTATCACACCTTCGCTGTATGAGTACATATGGAAAATAAAAAGATGTGGAATGATGAAAAATGAGAAACCTCTCCACCAGAGACCAAATGACGTGGCAGTCAATTATAAGTCACCATACGACCTTCAACAATGAGAAAAATCCATACCGTATAGCAAGCTATAAAAGGCCCCGAACTTACAAATACAAAACGTTTTAGACCAGAAAACGAACGGCCTTATGTACATAACAATAAACGAAAAACAAAATGATATACAGCAACATACGAATATCACTGAATTACAGACTCCTAACTTTAGACAGGCACAAACAACATGTGGCAGGATTAAACAATTTTGTGAGCACCCAACCCTCCCCTAACCTGCATCAGTGGTGTCAGTACAACACGTACAACATAATAGCAAACTACAAAAATCAGTTGGAAAGAACTTAACTCTTATATTTTCATTTAAAATTGAATTGAATTTGTGCATGTAGTTATAAAAATTACCAAAGTAATATGTATCAATTTGAAAGTATCTTCGCAAAATCAAATTATAGAAAAAAACAAAAAACAAAAACAGATAAAAAAAATAAATAAAACAAAGCAAACTCAAGTAACCAACAAACACAAATTACCAAACAAACAAAATAAAACAACACCAAATACTTAAAATTAATAATAAGGATTTTATAGAGTTGCATTTCTTTGAGCAAACAAGAAAGGATGTGTGTCATAATTCATTTGCAAATATAAACTTACATTTTCAACATAAAACAAATAAAATATCAATACATTGTTGACATATAGAGTATTTCAAACAAAATGCTTTGAAGATATTTTTCAACCTTTCATACAAAACAATGATGAAACGAGGATGTTTATAATTCATTTTTATGATCGGTACATATTGAACTATACAGATGATGGTTGGACAACACTATAAAAATGAAAATACAAAGGCGAAAATAAAACAATAATGGGGTTAAGAAGAATAAACCGTTTGGCAACACCAGGGTTAAAGGAAAATACGAAGAAGAGAATAAAACAATCGTAGGTTTAAGAAAGATAAACAACACCAGGGCAAAAAGGATAAATACAAAGGAGAGATTAACACAATCATGGGTTTGAGGATTCATAACACAAGCAAAACTGATAGATACAAAGAAGTCAGAGAATAAAATAATCATGGGTTTTAGAAGGATACACAACATCAGGCAAAACTGATAGATGTAAAGAAGAAAATAAAACAATCATGGGTTTAAGAAGGAAAAACAACACCAGGGTATAAAAGGATAAAAACACAAAAGAGAATAAAACAATCATTGGTTTAAGAAGGATAAACAACACCAGGGCAAAAACAAAAAAAAAACACACAAAAGACCATCATAATCCACAAAGCATCACACAGCAAAGTACAGACCAAGCAACAAAAACCACAATAACATTAGTATAGAAATAAGCAGATGTGGTTTGATTGCCTGGAGACAAATATCCATAAAAAAAATAAGCGGTTTCACTTCACTATTTGTTACGGCCGTTTTTTACTAGACCAACAGTGAATGCCGAATTACATATTTCATTATATGCCAACTCACACCATAACATTCAGCCGTTTCAATTTTTCTGACTCGACCCCAACCTGATTGTGTTTTTATACTTTGATATACTGTTGAAGGGATTCTGTTGTTTGATTGTTACTAAATAGACGTTTGCTCCATGTATTTCTTTTTTTTACAGAATGAAATAAATTTCATAGCATGAATTATACATGCACCAAATACCGTTTTCAGGTTAACATATATCAATCTATAACCTGAGTATATTTAAAAAAAAAAGCTGATATCAGTTTTTTTCAATGAAAATAATAAGAGTCGTTTGTGCCAAATCAAAAGATGCATGAATGATTAGTTTATATTTTACGTTTATAAAACAAATATAATTTACATAAATAAAGTAACGAGGGTCTGGATGGGGATCTTCGTCTCTGTATTATTTAATTTTTAGCCATTTTTCTCTTTACTTTGTTTTTTTTTACAACTGTTCTCTATTTTTTATGTTTCAGCTCCAATTATTCTCTATTCTTTATTTTGGTAGCCAGTTTTCTTTATTCCTATTTGTTCACCCATTATTCTCTGCAAACCCAATACACACACTTCGTAATGAACTTCTAGCCAAAGTAAATACTTAATTTAAGTAATTAGAGTTATCTGAATAGTGACTGATACAGATTGGTTGCTGGTTTGTGATTTATTTGAATTACTGAATGTATTATAGGCAAGAGTGCACCTATTTCTTTTCTATGAAATTAACAAAAACAATATACTCTTTGTATATGAATAATGACTAATACTTCTTAAATTAAAATTGTAATGATGAATTTGGCAATACTTTAGGTCCTTTTTGGACGTATAGCTCTCCAACTGTTTAGGTTCTTATACATCCTTGGCTTTCAAATAATCGGCTTTAATTGAGCGTTTGTGATGAAGGCGAATCCAGAAGAGTGCTTCGGACGCATACATGTACAATTTATAAAGTGTTGTTTATTTTGTAAGTGTTCAAGTCATTTCATTATTATATATGTAAACAGCTTTGGACGACAGCTTATATAGAGAGTAATAATTTGAAACAAGGAACTCCTATATTTTATATCAAATTCTTGATAGCTATAAGAATATGAAGAACTATGTTTTATGACTTCGAATAATAAATAATGATAAATAAATAATAGATGCTGTTGTGTCTTCATTATATATTTGTAATACCAATAGAAGTTACTTGTAGCAATAAATAAATTAAACACAGTGTAAAAGAAATGTGTTGTGCATGAACTAACTTTGGAAAATTCATTATGCAAATTATGGCATTTATTTGATTCTTTGTGGATTATCGATATTTATTCTGCTTTTTGAAATGTTTAAAAGTTTATTAGATAGACAATTTTAATGTCACTAAGCTGATTCTACAATGTTACTTCGGAAAGTTGAATCTTCTCAACTGAAAAACTGTCTCACTGTTAGAGTAAATGTACTGAAATTGTGCGAAGCCTATATTGGCATTTCACATTTGGGATTGCTTTGATATGCCAAGATTACCATTATACAGTATTGTTTGCGAATCCTATATTGTTATTTCTATTTTATAATTGTTTTACTATGTCTAGATTACCATTGTACAGGATAGTGTGCGAAGCCTACATTGGTATTTCTATTTTATCATTGCTTTACTATGTCTAGATTACCATTGTACAGGATAGTGTGCGAAGCCTACATTGGTATTTCTATTTTATCATTGCTTTACTATGTCTAGATTACCATTGTACAGGATAGTGTGCGAAGCCTACATTGGTATTTCACATTTGGGATTGCTTTAAAATATGTCAAGATTACCATTGAAGTATTACGTAAATGAAGTTCCGAAAGTCTGAATCTTTGAAGATAATACACTATGATATATGATTCCTTAATGATAGTTGTTACTGCAGGTAACTAGTTTGCTACTCTGGTTCTCGCTGTTAGAGTCGTACAGATTAAAGGACAGCAGACAAGTATAACCAGTTTGCGTACTGGTTGAAAAAGGATATAAATTACAAAATTTGCATTCAATTTTGGTAACGGGAAAATTAACTCAAGTATTTTTCAATAAATCGAAATCAAAGAAAATTAATATGTTATGTACAATGTACATGTCGCAACTGAAAGGAACTTAGGAAAACTTGACTGAATTAAATGAATTAAGCAAAACGCATGGTATATTTTGTTTTAATTGTAAACCGACAATATTGTGCCATCAATGTCAGTGCGTGCCATGGAATTAAAGGAAGGACTTGTGTTCAACATAAAGCCATCTCAACGGCCGGTACCAGTCGTGTTCAATTATATCCTTATGCGACAAAAGTTATCACTATAGAAATTGCGCGTGCTGCAGTTACAACTTATGATTTGCAAAGATAAATGTTTGATATAGTGAAAGTCGTGAGATAAATATTTCACAAGTATATACAACTGAAATGAATCCTGAAGTATTTGTAAGTGTTAGTACTTTATGCGTTTTAAGCAAACTAAGGCACATTACTATTACATTACTTGAACGTTTGTGTCAACCATATTCAGTAAAATGTTATAAGCATCTTATATTTAGTAACACTGATTCTTTTTCACATGAATGTTTAAGAAGCATTTGACGAAACTGTGTTTTACAAACGCATTATTGATTTAAAGAATTATCTCACTAAACCAGGGTCTAACCCCGGCCCGAAAGTAAAGAAGGGAGATAAAGAGGCAATCAGAAATCTAAAGATACTTAAAGGATCATAAGCGCATTAGCCAAACAAATATAAAATAACCCCGAACAAGAAAAATTGTCCATAGGCAACCATACCCCGCTCACACTATATGTGTCACATTTCTATGGCCAGTGAACCACTAATTCTGGATCAAAACCCTAATTTGGCATATATTTTGAACCGTTTACATCAGAATGAGCATGTGTACTAAGATTCAAATTTATGTTACCAAAAAGTAAAAAAAAAATACCTTAAACCAAAAATGTAATCCTACAGGGGATGGACGGACGTATGGACAAACGGAAGGACGCGATGATCTGAAAACATAATGACCCATACTATTGAAGCGGGCTAAACATGTATGGTATAGACATTTTCCACCGTAAAGTTATAATTGATTATCGAGAGACCTAATCAAAATGGGCGTAAAATCACATGCTCAGGGAGAGCAAGTGTTTTAAGTACAAGCAAAACAGCTAATCACAATAGTTAAAAAAAAAAGGTATGGTATTTGAACAAAAGAACCTTCAATCGAAAAACAAACATATTTTTCATGTCGGGGCCTTTTATAACCGACTATACGGTATGGGTTTTTCTCACTGTTGAAGGCCTTTCGGTTGCCTATAATTGCTTACATCCACTTTATTTGAACTTTGGTTGATAGTTGTCTCGTTGTCAATCATACCACATCTCCTTATTTTTATATATTCAAACTTAGACGATAGTACAAGTAGAAATTTGAATTGCATGTATGTAGTAATAAGTTAAAAAAACTTCGACTCAGTTTGTAGGTTTAGTAAAACGAATGTGTGAACGTGCTGATTTTGCATGTAATATTTGCTACTAGACCCTAAGCAGCAACTAATACACCAATAAATTCATATTGGCCTCATTTTCTTTTCAAAAAAGCACATTGAATTCATGAATGCAAAAGAAAGAGATCTGAAAATAATGCAATTTCAAAATATTTGTATTGATCAAAACGATGCCGTGTTCAAGTAGAATAATTCTCCGCCACAAGTCGAGATCACTTGCCATAAACTAATATATTGGGTCGAATTATGTATTTATGCTGATCTAACATGTACATATTTTATATATCCGTTGTCATTAGAGATGTGTCACAGAAGACAATCATCGATTTTTACTACTTAACGAGAAAGAAAAAAATGACAGGATATGTACGAGAGGCTTTCAGCTATACATAAAAAGAAGAATGACATATCGCATTACCATTTTGTCAATGTCAGTGCTTTGTTTTGTACTGAATACAAGTTTGCATAATTCACCACAGTTTGAAGGAAACCAAGTGCAAATCAAGAACCCGCGAAAATGCGTTATGAAGCTTGGCTAAATATAAGTTTCTCCTCCATTTTGACGATTTTCACTTTGGTCGTACCATAATTTTAAGGGTTAAATTCGAGAAATATTATTTGTTTTGCGCTTATAAAATGTATAAGTTCATATTGATCATAATTTGATTAGAATTTCACATTCACGTACATGTAAATAAGTTATGTGATACTAAAAAAAAGTAAACACGTGTTCAGTTTATATAGTACGAAATGGTATACATGTAGCTTGCCCATAGGGTACGAAAAGTCTACGTATGGTAGGAATGATAAATTTATTGTACAAAATTGTAATTTGGGGTACGAAATGACAATGGGGCGAAATAGTTATAGTACGAAATTACTACATCTTCTGTGATTTCATCAGCATTTACCATAATTTATGAGGTTAAGCTTTCAGTGGACATATACTATTTCGAAGGGTCCCTGCTGTCGCTTTTAAGTTAAATTAAAACTGTAAATATTTTTCAAAACTGCAATTTCAAAGCTGATATACGCATTCATTTACATGTCAACTCGTATGAGTCCTGTAATATAGATTTTTATAATTTATTATGTTCCTTTCAAAAATCACCATGACTATCGTACACATGTCTATATTTGTATAAATTGTGGCTTTCGTAGACACAGTTACACATGCATATTCTCCTTGATTATAGTGTGACTCAAGACCTGTTAAAATTATGCAATGTAAATTGTACACCGGGTATTAGTAACGCCGTCCTCCATAAATACTCTACTACTAAATGTGGGAATACAAATGTGCGTCTACTGTTTTTTTCTGGTATGGTTTACCATAAACTTAGACTAGTAATTTCCGCATCCCAAATCTGGGCATATGAACGTATCCAACGGAGTTGTTTACAGAAACATGCGCTGGTGAAAGGTGTATTGATCCGGGTAAAACTATGATACCAATTTCGCTGCCTCTGGTGCGCATGTCAGGAGTTTATACATATTTGGTACCACCAGAAAATAAAGCCAAAGAGGGATTAATGCATGCAGATCTATGCAACCAGATTGAGAATTGGTTTTGACTGAATACCGGTCACCTTTTTCAAGGGAATCGCTAAAATGTACAAATTTAATCAGCTGAGAATTTATATATAAAAAACATATATGCAATCAAAGTTACGCTTTTAAATTTCGATTTTGTATCAGTGAATACAATTTTGGAACAAAATCACACACTTACATTAATTCTGCTTTTTTTCCAATTCTTAATTGTGTATTTATTTTTATTTTTTCTTTCAATGGCTTTTGGTACCAATTGTTTTCTTTATGTTTCTGTTGGTTTGTTTTGTTTGAATGTTTATTTTCTATTTCACTTCATATATCTCAGTCGATAGTTTTTTTACCATCTCAAATTTTGTCATATTTCATATATTTTTTTAACTACTGTGCTCAACCGGCATTAATCCAGCAAGATGTTTCACAAGTTAATTACTTAATTGCGTGTTTGTGATATTACCAGCAAATTGATCCGTGGAATTTCATACAACACTGAGCAATATTGCATCCTCTACAGGAATGCTGCTCGTCAAATCATTTGCTAAATTATTCAACACTTTTGCTATTTTAGGTAATGTTTTAACGATAAATTTTTAAAAACACCTATTAAATATGCCTTCTAATTGATTTTTCCCATCACCGTTGATGTTATTGTAGAAACACATAAATTTTTTTGAATTATAATTACAACAAAACTAAACAACCTACCTACAAATATAGATTTATTCTTATTCTTTTTTGTAAATAACTTAACTATAAATGCAGCATCTGTTACATTTACCTGAATGAAAAAGTTATTTACAGTGGTAAACTGTAACATTCAATATGACTGATTAAAAGTGTAACAATAACCGTGTTGTATTGTAAAGTTCACGATCCTCTCAGGAAAAGATATTATATGTTGTAAATACAATATAATAAATGTGTTGTAGGATCGGAAATCGGGAAGAACAGACAATGATGAAATAAAACCTGTCGATGATCTTACTTCCAAAAATGTGCAGGGGAAGCCGGAATCAAAATATGACGAAGAAAAAGACCCTACTATTTTAACATTGTGGAAGAAAGCAAAGATAAGGAATGCAGAGGTTCAAGCTAAGAGAAACGAAATGACAGATATAAATAGAAAACGGCAAAATGAAAAGGTGCATATGCACTCATCTGGATCTCGTGAGAAAATTCAGCAGCAGAAGCCACGCGCACAACGCGACAGTAGAGACAGACGATCGAAAAACGCTACTGATAATGCAAAACAAGCAGAACTGAAACATATCAATGGGTTGTCACAGATGTCGTCTGATAGATTCCCGCCACAACCTAACACTACGCAGCGCGTGGTATACTTTCAAAATCGATTTATCATTCTTGATGCAGCTGATCATCAAACAGGGCCATCTAATTCGACAATTAACGAACATAATAATGACAATGATACTAGTGGAATAAAATCAAACAAAATGGATTCTATGGAAACATCATTTTCAAAAATAAACAGCACGACAGACTCAAAAAATAAAACCAATCGGAAAGAAATTGAAATGGATGCTACATCGGTGACAATGGATGCTAGAGGAATTGATATAATTTTAACGGATCCTGATAATAGTTCTAAACAAATAAAAAATATGGATAGTTTTAATACTGACGAGGCGAAAGAACGAAATACAATTTGGAGAAAAATTAACCGTGTTCTTTTAGATGATAGAGTTAAAGCCAGCAATGGTCAAATAGTTCTAGGAAACAGACACCCAGAGGAATATAGGATTTTAAAGAAAGTCCTGAATATATTGTTTCTGACAATCGGAATAACCTTATTTGTTTCTGTGATCATTGTGGTGATATACGCTTTCATTGGTAAGTATGTTACTTGTATAAATATAAACAAACAAACAATATTCCTTTATAGCTATATATAGAGACATCAATACGTAATCTGTGTATCAGTTTTATAGCCATTATTGGATTAATTTGTAATTGCTTTTTTCCAACCCTGATCACTTATTTACATTAACTAAAGCATTATCAAGAACCTTTTATATAATAAGATGTATTAGCCCACTTGTTTGATCACCATTAAATAACAATGAATTGATAAATATCACAGAGACAGTGTGTGTTTTGCGTTAAATTAAGGTGATTCTTAATGGTACATCTTTGCTTAAAGCAAAGGCCAACATAGTTTACTGATGTTCAAAACTATAGCAAATGCATTTTGAATAAACAAATCTAGAGAAAACCAAAAGGAATTGCATAAAGTCACTACTGAATGAAACCCGGTGTGTCGACATGGAAAGCGGCTCTTGCTCTGCGTGAAGCCTCTATTCATAAAACACTTTATTAACTTAGTAATTATGCATCTCTTATTTGTTCGAAACAAGTTACTACGGCATTATTTATTTGTATTATGCCTGGTAACTAAAAATGTTGTCCTGTTTTTCTAAATTTTGCTTTTTATTTGTACCTCAGATCATACATTGATGTTAATATAATACTTCGACTATCAGATTAAAAACAATGGATCTGAAAAAAGCTACTACTTTTGCAGATATGCTTTGATGGAGACCAAGTAAAACTATGTTTTCGCACATAAGTGATAAAGCGTTGTTATGAAACATGTCATTATCTTTCTTAATTTATTATTGATAAGTAGATCCATAAACAATGTTTTATTTTTTGTCAACACAATCTATCGTTCAATTAAGTTTTATTAACATTGATTCCAAGGCAAGCAAGTCAGTGCTGTATGTTGGTAGACTTTCTTTGCGATACGTAAGTCAATGAATATAACTAATGTGTTTTAAATCAATGAAGTATATAAAGCCTTATAGAGATCATTTTGAATTTAAGCAAAATTCTGTCATTTATTTTAACTTGTAATTGGTTTATGCATAACCCTAAAATACGTTGGGTTGTCAAACTTCACAAAGGGTCGATATTCCATTCGGTATAATAATTTTTTCATCAAAATAGAGAAATTTATCGATAATTTTTTCAAATCTGTTACAAATGTAAGAGACACTGATTTCTGGTTGTTTAATCAAATAAATGTAGATTTGACTAGAAGACCCAAATTCACCCAAAGTTACCCCAAAACACACCGGTCCAAAACACCGAAAAACACCAAAAAGCACCTAAAACATACTAAATTTAGTAAAAATATAGTTAGGAAGATGTGGGACAGGCACATAGAATTTGAAAAAAAATGTGGCGGGGAAAACCATGTTTGAAGGCGCGATCCCTCCTCCTAACCTGGGACAGGGGTGTAACGACACAGCACCAGAACAAACCTTGCAAAGCAATAAGCGAAAAACAAATATACGTAACAGTAAAAGACGACAATCACTCAATTACAGGCTCCCGACTTGAGACAGGCACATATAGAATGTGGCGGGGTTATGTATGTACGAAGGCACTATCCCTCAGTGGTGTAACAGTACAACATAACAAAAAAATATATATATACAAACTATAAAAATCATTTCAAACTGTTTATGAGTTTGTCCGCGTTGTTTCTGAACAGTTTGATCATGAAGTGGTTGGAATTTTTATAAATTTGATATTTTGTTGTGTTTTTCTAAATGTTGGTTAAATTAAACTTTTGAAAATATAAGGTCTGCGGAAGTGGTATATATGTTCTTTTGTTCGTTTGATCAATTAACGCCCAGTTTGCCCTACATGGTTAATACCACATTTCGGTGTCTGGAATCTGGAACGGGTTCGTCATTTCTGGCATTGCACGGGAATATTTGTGGATATCCACATGCTTTTTTGTTGAACAACCTAGCTGCAGAGGCAATGCCTCCTTTAACACAATTGTGAAATGTTCTTAATTTTGCAGGTAAATTTCGATTAACGGCAGTTGTATTTATATTATGAATGCGTTTTTTTTTTTTAAATACGTGGACATTTTTTTTGTTGTAATTTTTCCGTTTCTTAATTTCAGTGATATTTTTTGTATGAAAATAAATAAATAAATGAGGCCAAAAGTCAATTGGGATCAAAATTACGGAATGAGTAAACAAAAGGTAGTGCGTGCTGTGGAAGAAATTCTAATAAAACTGTAGTTAACAGGCCCGAGAACATAGTTATTGCTTGATCGATACCTCTACTGGTGGACTTTTAGTACCCGAGAGTATCATCATTCAAGTAGCCAATACCGAAAATACGGATATTGTTTAATTAAAATTTGCTGGTATACATTTTTTGAAATTGTTCTAAATCAAGGAATATATCTCCCTGATGCAAAGCTATGATTCTTTGTCCGGATTTGGCCATTCTTTAGGTCATTTTTGGTTTGATCCGCTCTTCAACATTTGTATTAGATTTCGGATATTTAAATATTTTGGTCTCGAGCATCGCTGAAGAGACATTAATTGTCGAAATGCTCATCTGGTGCATTGAAATTGGTACCGTTTATGTTATTTTTCCTTAATGCTACGTTGATTTTAGAAATTTTCAATATGAGTTGATCTTGGATGGATCTAGCTATTCTTTTTAGATACCTTTCGTCATATAGCTTGATGTTTGCTACGAGCCATTGCTCCGTGTTGAAGGCTATACTTTGACCTATAATTTCTTTTTACACATTGTGACTTGGATGGAGAGTTGTCTCATTGACACTCATACCACATCTTCTTATTTCTATTTAAAGTATACAAAGTATATAGACCGTTGGTTTTCCCGTTTGAATGGTTTTACACTAGTAATTTTGGGGGCCCTTTATAGCTTACTGTTCGGTGTGAGCCAAGGCTCCGTGTTGAAGACCGTTCTGTGACCTATAATGGTTTACTTTTATAAATTTTGACTTGGATGGAGAGTTGTCTCATTGGCACTCATACCACATCTTCTTATATCTAAGTATTTATACATTGATAGCTTTCAAGATTTTAGGTTTGACCGTTCTGATAAAGGTACATTGAGCGCCTCGGACGACCCAAGTTAAGTTTATCAAGTTTTATTTCTTACTTTCTTTTTCATCCAAACCTCAACTATTGCCTTAAAAGGTGGTAAAAAAGGGGGGTGTGAATGGCAATGCTTTATTAGAAAAGACCCCTAAATCGTTCTCTTTCTCTTTTATTCACAAGTATATACTTATTAATCCATTACTGCAAGTTAAAAGTTTTTCAAGCTGAGGAATAAACCATAGCATGCACCAGCCTTATCTTGTTAAAACATTCATTCATTTATGAGTTTAAGGTTATAGAAAAGTTATAATTCCCATTTATTCATTTTTTTACTTTAAATATTTTATTATCAATTCGAAAGAAAGCTTTACTGATTATTTTTACTATGGGATAAATACTGTCTTATGTACATTTTCCATAATTATTCAGTAAACACAAAAACTTTTCATGCAGATAGAGCGAATACAAATAGAGTCAAGATCAAGCATCTCCAATGGCGCTAAGTTATCCAATGGACATCTCATCAAGCTTAAAATGACAGTTTCACATTTCTGAAGTTCGACATCTCAATTTAACTTCGCGTCAAAATTAAAATGTTAATTTTCGATGGCACTTTTTTTAGTAAGAATTATTCAGTTTATATCATGTCAAGATCATTATAGTTCCAAAGGGCGCTGGGTTGAACATTGTTTGTTTACATCGCGTTAAGATCAAAATGTCCATTTCAGTTGTGTTAAATTGGACACCTTAGGTGAACACCGCGTCAAGAACAGAATGTCTATTTCAAATGGCGTTTAAAAAGAATTATTCAGTTAAGAGCACGTCAAGAACACGTAATTCCAAAGGACACATCAAGTAAAGATCAAAATGTCATTTAGGCTGTGTGAAGTTAGACATTAAGGTTAATAAACATAAAAGGTACCAATGTAACTATACCATTTCCGCATGTCAACAATTACTGTCTCTTCAGTGATGCTCGAAGCCAAAATATTTAAAAAAAACAAACCCTTTTACAAATGGTCAAGAGCTAATAAAACCAAAAAGGACCAAAAAGAAAAGCCGAATCCGGTCAAGGAAGCATAGCTATGCATAAGAGAGATGATTCCTTAATTTAAACTTAAAAAAAACTTATACAAATGTTGACATCTAGTAACAATCGCGATCAGCTCGGTATAAATTGTATCTTAAAGATAGACGAAAGATACCAAAGGGATATTCAAACTCATAAGTCGAAAATAAACTGACAACGCCATGGCTAAAAAAGAAAGAAATAAGACCAACAGACAAACAATAGTACACAAAACACAACAAAGAAAACTAAAGACTGAGCATCACGAACCCAACCAAAACTGGTTGTGATCCCAGGTGCTCCGGAAGGGTAAGCAGATCCTGCTCCACATGCAGTGCAGATACATATATTATAATATTCGTCAGTAGCTACGCTAGTCTGTATATTTTGGAAGTGTTCACATAAAAATCGTATATGATCATTTTACATAATAGTATGAATAAACATGAAATCTCAACGACATACAATAAGCATAAAAGGCATTTGGAAGCAAACAAAAGTACATGTCACGTGATGTGTTTACAATTTACATACGATATGTCAATCTCTAAACATACTTATTCTAACAAAATATGTATATAAACTTAGGAGAGACTACAAATCAATCTATTTTACTCTTACAAAGCTGTGTCAACGATATACATATATATATTTATATTGAATATTTACATTTGTGTGTTAAACAGCTGTTACTTTATATCATAACAAGTCGATTAGAAGCACTTGCTCTTCATATGTAGCTCAATTTTACTATTTATCTATCTATTAAAAGTTTATTATTATCATTGTAATCATTACTTTGTTAACATAATTTTGGTTTCTGTATAATACTTGTACTCAAAAAGCTTAATTTGAGGTATTCAACCAGTTTAATATATTACGGTATAATATAATAAATGCATACATGTACAGTTGTATATAATCAGTTGATACGATTAAACTAAATAAGGATAGTTCAGATACTGTCGGGAATAGGTCAGAATTGGTCTCCTTTTTCTGTTCTTTTTACTTTTGGTTAGAATGTTTAACTGACAAATACAATTATAGCAAGATGTCTGGTTAATCTTCATTTTAAAAGTACAAGCAACTTTATAAATAATGAAAAAAATGAAACTGAAATACAAGCTTTATATTAGTTTTCTCGGGTTGCAGTTAATGATTTCAGTCTTATAAATTAGTGAAACAAATACATTCATAATGAATTCAATCTTGTAATAACGGATCAATTCGTTACGATTATCAGTAAAAACCACATTCCGGTTGACTTGTATAGCTATTCAAATAGCATTGTTCATATTTAATTCTATATAGTACTTGTTTTATTTTTAATAGCTTTTAAGCACCTCCATAAACCATATCCTGACTTGGAAGCGTTAAAACCGTTGTCATGGAGTGTGTCATCCTCCCTTAATTTATTATTGATAAGTAGAGCCGAAAAACATCACTTCATTTTCTGTCAACATCATATTCTACCGTTCAATTTAGATTTAATTACTATCTGATACCAAGGGTAACCTAGCAGTCTGTATACTGTTACACTTCTTTGCCATAGTTTCAGTCATGAAGGCCAAACACTATAATAGATATGTTGTACATATCGTTATGATAGATATATTTTATCAAAGAAGTATTTTTTATAGCATTTTAATTGAACCTCGAATAGGTTTACAAGTTTATATTTAACTGAAATGTTTATAGTGTGTCAACTCGAGTGTAAATGAAGATGTTCTAGCTAAAAATATAACCTGCATTTCTTTGACCATAAATGGATATAAAGTTGGAATTGTGCACTTTTTACTTAAATTACTGTTTTCCCCAATATAATTATATAATGTATCAATATGTCCTTTTAGTAACATGAGAGTATCGTATCAATAGTAGTAATTATGTTATAAATGTATTATATTATCACGTACACTCCTATGTTTCATTGATTGACTAATTATGGTAATATCATATAGTTATTATCTTTGGATCAATTGTAAAAACAATCATATTAACATTTAGTACATTTATGACAGTCAAAACAACACAATGTAAACATATTCAATGCATCTATCTGCAGAGCCGTGTTCAATTTCCCTATTGAATGTTAAATTTCAACTTGCTTTTGCTCTGGGGTTTCAGACGATATGAGGGTTTCGTCTCAACAAACTTATTTTTTGACCAGATACTAGAGGATAGGGCGTATTGGCATTTTCGTGTTCGCAAATTGTGAAACCTTAAACACAATTTAACAAATGAACATCATTTGTAAAAGCACGTTTTGCAAAGTATTAAATCATATCAATCCTATTGTATAGAATGGAAATATTGATTTGTACGCTTCTCATGGAAAAATAAATATTTGATACACGTTTGAATTAGACTAGATGATATGATGTTTCAAGCAAGTTAACAATTAATGGATGAATACTATTATGTTTAGCGAAGTGACTGATGAACGAACCTTGTACCATCTTCATTGCAAAAGTGATGAGAAGAAGTAAACATATATATCAAAAATGATTTCAGACTGAGGAGGCCATTTTGATTTAAACATCTCTGAAATCTGAAAACACTTAAATAAACAAGTTATCAGTCAAGAATTATACATTTCTACAATGCATTACTCGCTGTTCAGATACTTATTTGGCGTCATTTAGGTTAACAAAGATGTTTATTTTCAATCTATCAGATAGTATTGAACTCTTTGTTATTAAACTAACGATTAAGAACTTCCCACTATAGCTCTTTCATTCTGTCAAAATATCACATTTGATAACATTATTTCAAGAAAAACTGTGATCTATTGGATTCATTATTGTTTTGGGCCAATATTTTCGATGCTGCAAATTTTGTCTGTTTATTGTGGATCTACACTGTTGGTGATACATGCTTAGAAGGAGACGATTACACTGCCGACGGACCCGGTCTCGTACACTGCCGACGCACCCGGTCTCGTACACTGCCGACGCACCCGGTATCGTACACTGCCAACGGACCCGGTCTCGTACACTGCCGACGCACCCGGTCTCGTACACTGCCGACGCACCCGGTCTCGACTTTTTGAAGTTCAAGTAATATCTTCAGGTTTTTTCACCTTGATTTGTATCTCTAAAATGGATTTATGAGATTTTAACATCGGTGATCTACTATTCATTCGAATTCATATGGCTGAGTAAAACAAAACAAAACAGTTCACTGTCTGAAAATTGATTGATACTATCTTAATTAGTAATGTTAGAGCAAAGACAAGGTTGAGAATTACAATAAAAACTACAAATCATTATGTCATCATATGGTGCTTTCTATTTAAGCGAGATAGTTAAAACCCTTTATTATCTTTATTTAGAATTTCAGGACATCGTGCGGGGAGGACACCAGACACAAAAATCATATATTAAGAATTTTAAAGATTGATTTAGCTGAACACTAAGGACATTATCTTATGATTTTCCTTAAGGTCTAAGTCCTATAGCACATCTTATAGTAACTGTAAATCTGTAAGCGTAGAGTTAGCACCGAATTCTTTCCTCTGGTTATAAAAATACATCTTTTAATTGAAATTTAACTTTTCATTTGATTTTGGTTAACACCTACACAGCTGGGAATTATGTAGAATGGAAGCAAGACTATATTATCTTAAGCTGAACACTATCCCTCCGAATGTGGTTCACCACACTATGTACCTAGAGGGACTACAATATATATTAATATATAATACTTCCTACTATTGAGATTGTTGTTTTATGTTTACCCACTTGTTCCCCTTCCTTTCCAAACAATACTTGAAGCATGTGTAAATACAGAAAATCACATACTCAGTTCGTGGTAATTTTGTACAAATATGAATTCGTATAATTGCAAATTGAATCCTGTTATTAACACAAAAAAGTATGGTAAGCATAATCATGAACTTAGTATTTCTAAGTCAATTTAAATAAAACATTGCACATACGGACAAGATGAGGTTTTAATATTCATTTATATATGTTATTTTTCTTGCAGTCGGAGATGAAAAGAATGAACATAGTCTATTTATAACGACCACAACTGTTCCTCCTTGAAAGCGGTCGATCGGTAACGTTTGGTAAGTATTTTCATTTGTTTGTGTGGCGTGGGCGAGGGTAGCAGTGAACAATTCTGATTTTATGTGAATGCAATCAAACGAAAGATTGTGCTTCTCATCCGAATCACCTGCAATCAAATCCGGTTTCAATTAGAATTTTATGTTCTTCTGTTTTTGCTGGCCCATGGATTGTGCATATCCTTTTTCAATGTCTCGTTTGTATTTTGTTATTTTTCGATTTTCTGATTTTTCTTTTAAAAAAAATACTTCGTATTTACTATCATGCAATTGTATGTTTCATATAACATGTTTATAAAGGAAACGACATTTGTTGACTCTGATTGGTTACAACATTACATTTTTATAAAAGAAAGGCGAAAGGTACCAAAGGGACATTCAAAGTCGAAAACAAACTGACAATGCCATGGCAAAAAACGATAAACGATAAACAACAGTACGCAAAACACAACATAGAAAACCAAAGACTGAGCAACACAAACCCCATCAAAAACCGGGGGTGATCTCAGGTGCTCTGCAAGGATAGGCAGGTCTTACTTCTCATGTGGCACCCGTCGGTTTGCTCATGTAAGTACAAAATCGTCGATAAGTCTGCATAACCTGTGTTGTTTTCTATTTGAAGCATTGGATAATGTAAATTTTCTTTAAGGATGTTCGCTACTCTGTTTCAAAATAACAAGCTTTTTAAAAGACTGTTATAAAATGATAGTATATAAATAAAGGAACTAAAAAAGCAGAAAAAAATGAAGGGTCCGTGTGCTTATTTTCGAGATATAAGCCACTGAAAATTTGGCGGGAAATAATTCTCTCTAGACTTTTCATACATTTAACATTAGCACCTGTTTTCTTTCAAAAACGATGAAAAAAAAAACAAGGATTTTATAAGATTTTTAAAAATGACATTTTAAACTATATGTCATCATATTATGGAGAGAAAATTAGGGTTTAGTGGGCAAAATTTTTTAAAGGCACTACATGGATAAAATCAGAGGATTCCGAATATCTGGAAAAAATTCAAAACCAAGAGGAGCGAACATCCTTAATAGTAGTAAATCTTCAAAGTTAAATTAAATATATATTTGGCGTTACGAAGAATAATTCTGATGTTTCTATGGCAAGAGTAAGAGGTCGTCTTAAGGTCTAAATCAAAACTATCCAGTTCGTGAATGGTGATTTTACATTCATTTTTGTTGTTGTTGTTTTGTTGTAATTACTAGTATAAGTTACTCGGTCATCCTATGCATGAACTAAATTTACAACGTTGCCCTCTCTGGCTTGACTATCGAATGCATAATAATAAGAACTCGAAATTAGCATTGCAAAATGTCTCGCTCACGTTATGCTGGTGGAAGTTTCGGCAATCAAATCAATGTCAAACCAACTCACTGATAACTCTTTTTATTGTCTGACCGTTTTCATATAGTTGTCTCTCAGAATTTTTGTCTGTGCATATTAAGCATGAAAAAAAAAATGAAAACAACAGGTTATTAATGTCGTGCGTTTGAAGCGCTTTTCTTGATTTACCTTCATCAGGAACGCTCAAAGCCGAAAATATGAAAGCCACGGATGTAAAAGAACCGAAACAGTTGAAGAGCTATATAATCAAAAACGACATAAAATAATAGCCAAATCCTTCTAATGCCAACTTTGCCTGAGGGAGTTGAAACCTTAGTTTCTTAATAATTCTAAAATTTATAAACGGACAATTTTAGAAAGGTTTGTTATAAATCATGTCAGTACCGAAATACTGACTACTGAGCTGATGATACCCTCGGGGACTGATAGTCCACCAGCAGAGGTATCGACCCATTGCTGTAAAAAATGAAAACAACACGTTATAAATTTCATGCGTCCGAAGCGCTTTTCTGGATTTACCTTCATCAGGAAAACTCAAAGCCGAATATTTGAAAGTCAAGGATGTATAAGAACCGAAACAGTTGAAGAGCTATATAATCAAAAAGGATATAAAATAATAGCCAAATCCTTCGAAGGCCAATTTTGCATGAGGGAGTTGAAACCTTAGTTTCTTAATAATTTCAAAATTCATAAAGGACAATTTTAGAAAGGTTTGTTATAAATCATGTCAGTACCGAAATACTGACTACTGAGCTGATGATACCCTCGGGGACTGATAGTCCACCAGCAGAGGTATCGACCAAGTGCTGTAATAAAGGAAATGAAATCTTCTGTTCATGAGACGTTTCGAGTAATATTCACAGTTTCTTATACATGTTATAGTGTGCATTTACTGGAAATTAACAGTGGTGTGATTTTTTTTGATGCACTAATATGAGTAATCATTTGGTAAATTCTGAATGATAGTACATTTTTTTTACCAACCAAGGTTTTAATCTTTTCATATCTTTCTCGAATTAAAGGATTTTTGGAATTCGATTCCTTAGCAATAAATTCGTTTTGCTTTTGTTTCCATGAAGGAATTTCGTTGCTATTACAAATAATTTAAAATTATTGCTTTCAACGTTCTTGTTGAAGATACATACGGAAACGCATGTCATACGTATGTATACATCTACACCTCATGTGTTCATCGTGAATGTCCGTCTACCATGCTGCTTCAGATAATGAAAGTCCAATACGAGTGAGGTAGCATAAAGTTCATATTACTGGAATGTGAACAATATTTAGATTAAGATCGATCGATCATGTTAAAGTTTATTAAATAACAAATATTATACATAGCTAAGAGACAGTTTTACATACTAATACCAAAGAAGCCCAGTAGAGCATCCGAGGTTATTGATTTTTATCCGTGTCTTGTAATTAGTGTGACGCAAGATTGGCTAATGAATATTTTCCTTGCTAGGGCTTCGACGTTGTGTATAATTTACACATTATTTTCCATTAGATATTTTAAATTTAAATTACAATCAGGTTTTTGTTTTTTAAACAGACTACAATGTAATGGAAATATAAATAGAAATGGTCTCAATTATAAATGACTTGTGTGGTTATTCTAATATGTTCCTTCCACATAACGGAGAAATCATGAATACATGGCAAAGTATTTGAAGACATGATTGAGCAATTTGAAGACTCTTGGCTTAATTCAGGCACTTTGCATGGGAATATATTGTTTTGAGCTCAGTTTTCGACACGGGAACCTCTAACTTGCATGTAAAAAAAGAGGCAAAAGATACCAAAGGGATATTTATCCTCATAAGTAGAAAACAAACTGACGATGCCATGGTTAAAAACGAAAATCCACCAAAAGCCAAACAGTACACAAAACACAACAAAGAAAACTAAAGACTGAGCAACACGAACCCCACCAAAAACAGTGCTCTTTATTGTCAATCTAAATGACATGTATATGAGCCATCATGTGTGAAAAAATTAAAACCATATTTTGAGTTCTTGTACTTTAAAAAAACCTTCAATGACCATGTTTGGAAACTTACATTATCAGCCATGTTTAAATTTGATTTTTAATAAAAAAAAATAATCATCAGAACCTACACTTTGATATTCCAGAAATTCTATTTTCTTGAAGTACAATGTTCTGGCATAAATTAAATGTAAACATTCTGGTATAATATTGTACAATTTTTTTTCAAGGTATTTAGAATTCAAGAGGCAAAGTGGAAAGCAGTAAACTACCACCAAGATGTCCCAGTATGTAGGACTGAATGATAGATGCGCGATCACACTTATATGTTTGTGATAACTGTTACGGAATATGAATTCAGTTCGGAATATTTAGAATATTTGTATTTTTTACATATATTTTGCCATCATGTGTCTATTTTGAACTTATTGGTGAAGTATTACTTATTCTAACTTATATCGTTTAATACAAAATAGTTTGCGTAGATTTTGAGATTTGCATCTTCTCAACGTAGTTTCTACTTTTTTCATAACCGCCAGCTAGGATATAAAAATATTTTTACTGCAAAAACAAAGAGGACAGTTATATAACTGTTGTTAAATAACATTAGTACATCATATTTTCAAATACTCAGGAGATGGTCATCTTTTTCATCAATAATGTTTATCTAGGGCAGCTATCCTTTACCCACTCCCGATGGGAAATTGTTGCATTAATTTCTAATCCAAAATAAGTTTTGTGTAAACAAAATGCTATATATATATTATCATAAGGAATTTTAATAACATGAAAATAAACTATAACCTTATATGATTACAATTCGTCAAACCCGTTTCAGTAATTATAACTTTATGTTGGTTTGCATTAATATGAGGGATGCATACATTATTAACTATCTAATTCCATCTGTATCTACAACAATCGAAATCTTAACACATCCTGTGCAGTAAACGGTGAAAATATACCAAACGCTAGATTAAAACACCAACATATTTCAATATGCAACCACAGTTAAATTCCATGCGCCATCTACTTAAAACCAAAACTGAACTTTTTATGCATTCGTTCGTTACGTAAATAAATCCAATTAAAAGTAGCATATGTAGCATGTCGTCATTACATAATTATTTTAAGACACATCTTTAATTATGTACACATAGATTATCATGTTACATGCAAATAACGATTATTAAGTTAAGCTTTCAATAGAATTCATTACTGGTACACGCGATAAACTGAAAATTACTATTTAATTATGTAATGCTCGTTTAATTAAATAAGATTGCAATTACTTATCTAATCAATAATCTTCTTTAAAAGAAAGCATGACATTCCAATTATGTCAAACCGATTTTAAAAATGCCACTTGAAAAATATTTTCTAATTACATTTAAGCTCGTGTATTTGTTTTGTAGCCACCTATATTCCCAAGGTAAAGTATACTGAAACTAGTTTCGTTTGTCCGAAATTAATTAAAAGATGTTCTGTGTCGGGTCACTGTCAATAATCCCTTTTGGTATTATACCTTCAGTAATATTTAGACATCTTTAGCTTTCAATTTTGTTGCTTGTGAGCGAACCTGGCGAAGGTAAAAAGCACTTAAGAGGCGCCTTTTTTATAAGGGATTTACTGTACTTTCACGTTGAACAGTCGTTAAGGATAAATTAGCCTTTTAAAATCTAAAGAACTATGCATCTTTCATTCTCAGAAGTGACAAAATGTCACGTCATTAGTTTGGTTTCCATTAATTGGGACGTTTGAATCAAATCGCAACGGTGAACTCTTCACAATTATATTCCATTATATACAAAATTCTGATAGGCAAAATACGGACAATAGAAAACTCGTTGAATCTTACCATCAACTCGAGTTCCCAAGACAGATGGGTATATGTTAATCTTAAGCTAATCAATAAATCTTCGGTGGTCTATTTAAACTGCTTGTAAAAAGTCTACGACAACTTTAAGTTGGAACCAAGTATGAGGGCCTCACCTTCGATGTAACAGTTTAAAGCTTTAAGTAACATCGGATATATGTGCATATTTTTCGCACTATGATATTTCGATGTTAAAAAAATATGCACCTTCTTTAAGGTTTGGTTTGTGTATGTTAAGTTTGACCATATCTCAAACCTTATTCTAATGCAATTGATCGTCGGGATTTACAGTAATATCGATATACCAGTTTCCATGCAGTGTTGTTTTCCGCATCAGTTTTAAGAAAACGTCGTAGTTCTTTTCTGAAATACAGATTATGATCGTATCTACTCGGAGCAAATATAATTCACTCGAATGACTAAGAAAAGTTTCGATTTTTAATTACATGTAACACATTACTGTCACAAAATAAGTGTTAAAATAAAGGAATAAGCAACTCTGAAATCTGTTTGAAAGCCAATTACATTACGGGTTCTATCTTCATTACAGACTTTAAATGCTGGTAGTACATATTATTGATATATGTTATTAAAATACAGTTGTATCTTAGTCATTGGAAACTTATTTAACTTTATTTAACAATTTCGCATAAACTGTTGTTGCCGAAATGGCCATGCATTCGACGGACATTCCATTTGCTGAGAGATAAATTCATTGCCACTTACTTGTGTTAGTGAAACTTAAAAAATAATTTGTATTTGGAACTTTATTTAAAGAGGTCGACCTAAGGTAAGGGAAATAACTCTTCAAGCTGGCTTATACGTTTGTGTCAATTATTTTCATAGATTTATTCTAAGCTTCTAGTTAGCATAGATTATTTTACTTCCGTTTCACTTCAGTACATAAAACGCATTGATGAAACGTCTAAACACATTACTCATCTTAAGAATTATTTCCCTTATCCCAGGTCTTTCCCTCTAGGCGATTAATAAGATATCTTTGTCGATTATTTCATTTTGAAGCATTTGTATCTGAAGTTTTAAATATTTTCTTATTTGTTTAAAAGCGGACGTATACCTAGAGGGCAATTAAAATCAAATGGTCGAAGAAAACAATACGCCAAAATGAAAAGTAAATCGACCTAAAAAAAAAACAAAAACAAATACTATAAAGGGAACAATAATTATTTTTTTTGATACAATGTTGTCTTACAATATTCATAATTAGTTTTTTGTTATTTTCCCCTTGCTATCTTCCTATGCTGTTTTTATTATGAATAAGAAAAAGACCGGTTGAAAGGGTTTCAGAGAATTAATATATCAGCTTTATTAGCTTAGGCACGTTTCATAGTATTACAGTCTTACACTGTTAACCCTATTTCTTGAACAGAATTCAAATTTAGTAAATACAACGATTTATAGAGTTAGACCTATGTAAAGAGTTTTACTCCTAAAATAACTGTCACATTGCTTCAACCATTATCATACACATAATACAAGTAAAACAGATTATTTTGTTTCATATGAATGCTTTTCAAAAGCAATGATAAAACTGCCTATTTAAACGCATAAGTGAATTGAAGAGTTATTTCCCTTAACTTATTTCAACCCCATTTTATAATGTCAGATCATTTGAAGGAACAAAGTATGTGAAGAATCATAATTTCGTCTCCATAATTACAAATATAAAATCAAAATCAAAAATATGATTATTAAAAAATCAAAATTATGATTATGATTATTTAATTGCCCTAATTTGACTGAGACACAGTTGGTCATAGATTGATTTATGTTTATGTGTTATTGGTCATATAGCTTGTCATGTGTTTTTATACTTATAAATCATTGGCTTTCATTTTCTTGCTTTGAGTGTTCCTGATGAAGGTAAATCCAGACAAGCGCTTTGAACGCATAAACTTAATATAGTGTTATTGTCATGCTGTAGAAAAATTAATAGGAAAGTACATAAATCTATTAAGTGTAGAAGTGTTTCTACATATCTAACTTAGTTTAGCAGTCTTCTGGATGGATATGAGCAACAGCTTACAGAAAAAAATTTGTAAATCGTGCAGTAAGGCATCTTAAATCATAAATGTGTTTTGGTTAGACTGTTGCTCATATGTTAATATCAATGGCCACGATTGCACGACCTCGAAACCGACTATTTTTGAAAGCTTTTTTTCGCCAGATACAGGAAATTTTAATGTAAGCAGATATGTGTGAACAAACATCTGATGAGCTAATGTCTTTCGTGAATATGTAAATGAAGTTGTTGATATTTCAAAGTCAAGGGAACAAACAAATTATCTTATTGTTACCTTCTCTCTTAAAAAGAAATAATGCTTGTCTATCAGTTTCATTACTTAAGGATGTTCGCTACTCTGTTTCAAAATAACAAGCTTTTTAAAAGACTGTTATAAATTGATAGTATATAAATAAAGGAACCAAAAAAGCAGAAAAAATGAAGGGTGCGTGTGATTGTTTTCGAGATATAAGCCATTGAAAATTTGGCGGGAAATAATTCTCTCTAGATCTTTTATATATTTAACATTGGCACCCTTTTTCTTTACAAAAATATGAAAAAATAACAAGGATTTTATAGCATTTTCAAATATGGCTTTTTAAACTATATGTAAATTATGAAAAGAAAAGTAGGGGTTAGCGGGGAAATATTTTTAATGGCAGTACATGGATAAAAACAGAGGACTCCGAATATCTGGCAAAAATTCAATAACAAGAGGAGCGAACATCCTTAATATTGAATTATGTTGCTGCCTTATTGTAAGTTAACATTTGTTATAGCAATATACTATACTTAATTTTTATTTTAATAATAAAAAACATTAAAGCAATGCTGACATTTTTATTTGCATTACATATTGCTCAATACCTTCTTAGCAGCCCTCATGCTTACCTGTCATTCGTCAATGTTTTCAATCTCCACGAAGAAGGTTTTAAAGTACAATGAAAATGTTATGCCATCAATAAGTTTTGCGGAAGCACTGACAACTGAGCTGTTGATACCATCCGGAATTAGCAGTCCAACAGCAGAGTTATTGACCCAGTGAAAGAAAAATGATAATCACATTTTATAGGTGTGGTGTAGCTGTGGAGCTTGTATGGATTTATCTTCATCGGCAACGCTTAAACCTAAAACATTGAAAGCGAAAATTCAATTCAACAATGAAAAAAAAACACATACCAGATAATCGGCTATAAAAGGTTCCGACATGACAACATGTAAAACAATTCAAACAAACGAACAAACAAACAAACTGCCTAATTCATGACAAAACAATAAACAAAAACAGATATAACAAAGGCTTCTGACTTGGGACAGATAAATACATATTGTGGAGGGGTTAAACATATTTGTAACGCTCAACCCTCCCCAAACCTGGAACAAAAGTGTAACAGCACAACATAAGAACAAACTGTAAAAATCATTTGAAAATGGCTTAACTCGTTCGATCGACACGAAACACAACAACAAATCTTACATAAAGACAAATCACATAAAAGACCAATCAAGGAGTACTCGCGGTAGCTGCACGCTAGTTTAAAGTCAAATAATGCTTATAAATTAATCATGCTCTTCCTGACTAAAGTATCAATCAGTACACATCCAACGGATTGAATGTAAATCAGACTGCGAAAAGCATCACCTTGTGCAATATTTAGTTGTTTAACAACTATTTTCTTTTCAGTGCTAGAGATTGTTCTGATTTTTATCTAAATCAAATCGTCAATTGCAAAATTGTTTATTCTTTCTCAATATACTATTGTTGCATTTTCTGTTGGTGGTAAAGTGAACGACTTTTGAAAGTCGAATGTTTGGTTACTATGCTGAACGCATATACTATTAACTTCAAATAAAGGATATCACAGATAAAGTTAGTCTGCCTCATATCGTGACATACATTCGGAAATTGACAATGAGGGTCGGTTGAGAAAAAACTTTACGACAAAAGGGATGATTTCAGCTTTCCAATTGTGAATTTTTCGTTTTTATGTAGCAACATTTTAGCAGCGCTTACACATCGAGTATGTGTTTCCGAGTTGATACGATATCCCAGAGCTTGCGTTACCTATGATAAATAGTTAATTCTTATAAGGAAGCAAATAAGACAAAGGGTTCTAAGTGATAAAGTTGAAGTCATCCCTTCGAAACTTTTACGGACGTCATCATGAGTTGGTTGACCGTTATGGAATAGCTGAGTCACAAATGACAACGGATATGTTCCAATTGTCGAAACCACAATCCTGTTCTCTTTCTTATCATCAGATTTTTCCTTACATTAACTGCATCTATTCTTAACCAGGATTCTGAACAGACAAGCATCCAATGACAAATAGAAATAAAACAATATAAAGATTAGTACTGACAATTTTATAGACCGGCAAAACTAACAGTTCCCTCTCTGTCAGATTTAACGCATTTGAACTGAATTGTTTAATCTCTCCGTTACTATGACGAAAATGTGTAACTGAATTTACGAGCTACAATCTATCGTCATGCCAATATATTCCTAAATCTTTCAGATATTCTTCGATTAACAAGGAAAGAATCTTGATAAAGCGTCTATAAGGCGTCGTTAGATTTATGAGAAAATTGCCAATATCAATAGACTATTAGATACATGCATCGTTGATTGACATTGCTCACGATTTTCTTCTTTCATACTTAAGAGTTAGCATTATTTCAACCGTTTTAAATAAGCTATTAAGAAATCCGATTGAATTATTATCAGGAGAAAGTTCTTTGTGACAGGAACAATTTTTTTTATTGTATATAGCGATCGTTACAGGAGGGTCTGGATGGGGGTCCTTCATTTGTGTATTCCTTTATTTTTATACCATTTTTCTCTATTCTTTATGAATTTTGCCTGTTATTCTCTATTCTTTATATTTTAGCATCCCGTTATTATATATTCTTTATTTTTTTACATATTTTTCTCCAATCTTTATTCCCCCCCCCCCCTTTAGTCTGCACATTTTGGCCATTCTTCTCTATTCTGTAAACCCCATCCACACCCTCTTACTGGAAAATCTGCACAATCGATGTGTATCAGTGAAAACGAATTCAGTGAGCAAATCGATGAAATATTAGAATGTTTGATACAGTCCAGTATTCCATTATTTAAGATTATTATCTTATTAATTCCACATCAAAGAATTCTAGAATGAAGAGGTCACTTCACTGCCAGAGGAAAGGTCGAATTGACGTAACTAACAAACAGAAAATAACAAACGGTGTAAAAGTTTCAAAGCCGTTACATTGATATCCATGCATTCAGGGTCGGATTCAGGATTTTTTAAAGGGTGCGTAATTCAATAAAATGACAGAATTATCGCCGATTAAAACGAGGCGAAGCAAACTTTGGATGATTTGATGCCAAAAATGATACATTTTCAAATCAAACGGGTGCGTACGTCCTAATCGCCCCATCACCAACACCCTTTAATCCACCACTGCTATGTATCATGAGAAGGTATTTTTCAGTCGCACTTGATTCATGCATAATGGTTTTACACTAGTCATTTTTGGGCCCTTTATAGCTTACTGTTCGGTGTGGGCCAAGGCTCCGTGTTGAAGGCCGTACTTTGACCTATGATGGTTTACTTTTGCAAATTGTGACTTGGATGGAGAGTTGTCTCATTTGCACTCATACCACATCTTCTTATATCTATATCATAAATGATTCTTATTAAAAGTCAATGAATTCTATATTTATAAATTATAATTGATTGATTGATGGCTGTTGAACGCCAAATGTTACATGTTAACATATGTATGAGATCAGATATAATCTGACGACTTCTTGCCCAAAATATTAAGGTGATTTTTTTAATAACTTATTTGCGGTTCCAGGGGGGATTCGGACTCTTTTCGATTTTGTTTTCATTACGTGAACGTTAACTTCCATTTTGTTCCGGGGGTTGGAACCCCTCTTTTTCAAAATGGCTGGATCCACGCCTGCTACTCAGCCACATTGTTCAGAGTCCGAGTCGACCAGCTGACTTCTACTAATCATATGTTTGGCGGAGAAGCAATAATATTGTATAGTCTATGGGAGCAATCATTTAACTTCAAAAGGGGAGGGGGTATGATTTTTTGTCTGAGTCAGAAAATTTTGCGCAACACTATAAGGTATGGGGAAAATCTGGATTCAGAATATTTTTTTTTGTCATCTGCTTGACCACAATATTTGTTTTTTATCAAATTGGGGATCAGAATATTTATTAGGAAAAACCATAACCCCCCACCCCCTTTTTGAAGTTAAATGGTTGTTCCCTAAACCAACCGATGATGAAAAGCACAAGCTCCGGCAATCATACCACATCTAGATTCTTATTGTTTTTATACAAAGAATTATAATGTATTGTATGAATGTTTAAATTAACCAATTGAGAAATAGGACGACCCCAAGGAGTCAATAACTATGAGACCAAGCAAGACAGACATTCCAATGCCAAAAGAAAAAATGCGGAAAGAGTAGCCCATGTCCGCAAAACACCCGGAAAACAAAAGAGGAAATACATAAATCTACGATTTAAAGAATTTGTAGTCATAACTAACCAACATCATTTTTAAAAATATATAATTGTAAACGGTTACTAGTACTTTTTACTAGGTATGTATACGTGTGTGTCTTGTGGATGACACGTACTTAAACGCAGCGAAGCACGTGTAAAGATTCCTTCATAGAACTATACAAGAAAATATGTTCTGACGTGTGCATAGAGATTTTTCAGTTTCAAACTCCCGGTTTAGAAATTCCTAAGGAAATAAGTCAGCGACACAAACTGCCTCGTGCATACGGACTTCTAACCAAATAGCAGGGGTTAACTAAAGTTCACCGGAAAGATAAAACGCCCCGGCGGAATTAGGAAACTATATAACACGTTATGTGAAATACTATGAATCCTAACCAATGTATTACCAAGATTTATTGCAGCTATTAACTATACGCCATACCCTAAATCAAAGTATTAAATAATTCTCTTCAGTTAAGGGTGACAATTTCCCTTGCAGGCAGTCACTACTTATTTCTTTAGAGATTAGGAAATGTTTGTTTCTAATACATTATTAGTAACGTCGCTTCCTGATATCATTTACTGTATCATAAATTGGTATTGATTTGTAGCAGCTGAACTATTTAGTCTGGTGAATATCTCTTTGATGTTTTCGATAAAAACGATATATGCTAAATACCTTTGATTTAATCATTTACAACTGGAAACATCCTTGGAAAGCAATGGATGGTTTGGTTAAAGGTTAAAGAGAACTGCGTTTAAAATTTTGTGACAAAAGAAAGATTTTTTAAATATTTATACCGGGTATGTTATATCATAGATGTATAAACCCAGGGTTTAAACATCTATGGTTATATGAAAAAGGGGCGGTATAGGAGGTGGTGTCATCCCGAATTGCTGAAAAAATGAAACATCCTTTCTCGGATTCCGAAAAATTAATTATTAATTCCCGAGTCCCGATAGGTGTAAATCCCGAATTCCCGTGAAAATAAAGGTCCAATCACGAATTCCCGTCAAAATCAAGGCCTAATCCCGACGTCCCGTAAAAGGTCCTCCCTCCCCTCATTTAGAAAACTCATCAAAAATCAGTTTTATAATTTAGAACTCCAGACGCGCGATTCTTCTACAAAAGACTCGTCAGTGACGCTCGAATCAAAAAGGTTAAAAGGCCAAATAAAGTGTGAAGTTGAAGAGCATTAAGGACTTAAAATTCCGAAACTTTTGCCAAATTGATCATTTCAAATGTTTTAATCAAAGCACACATCCTGTTACCAGCTATAGGGCCGGCCGATATACCAGGATTTGTTTTCCCGAT